TCATAGTGTATTTTAAAAGAGTTAACTACAGGGTCCATAACTTTCTTCATTAGTTTAGCTGAAGCCCATCACCTACCTCTAGGAGAGCTTTTAAAATTAATTAAAAATGATTAAATTAATTTATCTGGAGTGTTTATACAACAGAAAGCACTTTGTTCAGATGGCTGCTTTGCTTCCCTCTATTTAAGACAAGCGAGACAATTAGTGTCAACAGGGAGTTAATTAAAAATACCTTTCAGTAACTTATGAGTACATTCATAGCCGTTGGACTTTTTCAGTTTATGCCATTTTATAAGCACAATCATCAACAGTTTTTGCTAGGATCTTATGAGATTGGCTAACAAAAATAGTACATAATTGTTACATTGAAGAAAACTATGTGTATTTTAAAGATTTTACAAATAATCTGAAAAGTGTGGTGTGCATTTGGATTTAGCTTCCCTGTATCAATAGCTTGCAGTCTCCCTACTGATTACAGCTGCTGGCATGTCTGGATGTACTTGTACATAAACTATAAACCTTTTTACTATAGATTTTGACTGCATGTTTAATGTTATTTTCCTGTCTCAAATCTTTTGAAGTCTCTAACACAATGTCGCCCCCTACCATGAAAAGCCACCATGTTTCAGTGGGCTTGCAGTTGTCATACTTTCCTCAATTTCCTAGTTACTTTGTTCATTGTCACGATCTCTTGCATTAAACTCCAGTAAATAGTGTTGGAATCTGTAATTGTAAAGTGACAGAAATGAATAATTTGAAGGAGTGTGAATGGTTTTAAACAGCCCTACTCTGTTACTCTGTGTCTGTGTTAAACATCTTAAGTGCTGTTTTATCAGTATCCCAGGAAATGCCAGAGAAGCCTTTGCTGAAGTCAGATACGTCTCTGCCAGAGCCAAATGATTTTGTCCACATACCATCGTTTCATTTTCTCTCTTTATTTTTGGCCAAAGGGGGGGAAAAAAAATCAAGAGTTGCATTTAAATAATGTGGGGAAGTCCTTAAACAGTGCTGGGTAATTTGAGGAAGTGTTTAAAGCTTTTTAAAGTAATGTTAGGAAGTCTTTAAGGTCAGACGGACTTAAGCTTACTTACTGTATAAAAAAGATGATTTGTCATAAACAAGTTCTGCAGCTGTTGTGCTTCAGAGGATTTAAAAAGTCACATGGTTTGCCTGTAGACCTGATGTTATGTAAAAGCCATGCTTGGTGCAGCTGTGGTGTCGCCTGGTCTGGAGTTTATTCAGCTTTTTTTCCATTAACAACCTGAGATAAACCAACCAGTTATATAAATATTAATGGGTTCAGAACGCGGATGAGACTCTTTTTAGGTAGACGTTCTTCTTGAATCAGTGTCATAGTTTTCTCCTAGTTTTATTTTATCTTTATTGATGAGTGTTTTTAAAGTTTCGAATAAAGGATATTATTCTATCACATTTTGAAGCTTTTGAGAGCAAAGATAAATAGTTTTAATTTTCTATCTTAATAATAAAGCATTTTTCTCTGTGTTGGCATAGTTTACCTGAATTTGACTCGCACACCTCTCCACTAAGATCAAGTTAATGATATTCTTGTGAACTGATTTTTCTGCAGCACACATGATACCAACTTTATTTTTTGACACTATTCAAATATCCCTCCTAGTGGCTTTGGTCTGGTCACACTCTTTTCTAAGATTGAAATGCAATTTCAGAAAAATTTGTATTATTTCATTAGAATATGTAATATATGTTAGAGAACATGTACTATATATGTTCTAGAATATAAAAATGCTCTCACCAGCCGTTTGTGCTCTTGGTCAGGTGGCTTCTTCATCCCAACTAACTCTGGTCATGTCTTGTTTTTTTATTGTTTTCGCGATGTTTCCATTATTTAGGATGGCCACACCCATCACTACACCTGTCCTCTGCTGCTTATCAACGATCACAATGTCTGGTTGGTTGACCACAACCATTTAGTCTCTTTCCACACAGGATCATAGCTCTGTCGCTCTCCACCACCTTGGGGGATGACTCCATTTTGGCTTGTTTGTCTCCAGTTTGTATTCTACACAGACGTTTCTGTACACTATACCAGTCACTTGGTTATGATGTTTAATTATCTGTATCCTACACCCGGCTCTGAGATGCTTGATTGTTTCTAGGGCCTCTTTTCATGGCCTGTATCTGGAATATTTCCTAGTGTGGTAGATCTGGGTCTGTATTGCTCTGGTGTTTAAGGCCTGCTCATCTGCTGCCATGATCAGTTCTTCTGGGCTGTCCTTCAGCCCGGCCCCCTCTATTAATCAGTAGGATTTGGTCTCTTCATCTTTCTGGTATATCCCATGCACGTTTTTTTCCTCCCATGATGACTCCTCCAGTTCCTTCTCTTCCATCTTCCTGATGTATTCTTGGGGTTGGGGTGTTTGGTGCCTCATTGGGTCTCCACCTTTTTCTTTGCGCTTCGTGTATAGTCTGTGGATAGTGGGTTTGTGGGTTTGAATCCACCATGCATGGTGAGAAGCTTTTGTGTTCTAACATCAGTGGCCTGAATTTCCCCCCTTAGACCAACTTATCATCCCAGCAGAGTATCAGATTATTGACAAGGCAAAGTTACATGATAACTTTGTCAGCCCTAATTGCAATATTTTTTCAATGTTCCTGTTTCCAACCTGCGTTCGATTTATCGACTTATGACTTTGATAAAGTATCACCTGTAGCGGAGCTTTTTCACTACTTTATTACACACTGGGCTAATGGAGAGGCGGCATGAAGGCAGGCACTGGAGAGGAGTCCAACATTTACTTAAGCCATGATTGTTTATTGCTTATATCTAATTATGTTTTACACATTTTTTCTTAAAAGTTATTATCATGATTAACTACTTGACTTATGATGGAAAGATTGTTCTTTTTTGTTAACTGACAATAAAACTATAATTACATAGTTCTGCATAAAAATATTACCCATGTATATCAGATATTTGTATAAATTTAAGGGGAATACTGGCAGTTATTATTTTCCATCTAAAGCACAGAACCCATTTTTCAGTCTGATGGTTCAAAGTGGCCTGCTTTCACATTTTAAGACACTAGTTAGTGTTTAATTTGGCGACAGTGCAGTGTTACCAGTTGCTTTTATGGGGGCTAAACCTGGTAACTGCTGATCAAGTCCCCACTGGTGGCTTAAAGATACCTTGTTGGTTGAAGGAAAATAAATGCTCTAGCAGCTCTCTGTAATGCCTGTCTCAGTAACCTGATAGGGTTCACACAGTTCAGGAATGCTGGTGAAAGGAAGGAAAAGTAAGACATTTTCTTCAAAGGTTAATTCATCCCCAAATTGACTTTTTTGTCTTTATGAAGTTCTTTCTAGATGTTATGGGTATTATTTTTTTAATTCACTGTGCATTTGTTGTAATCCTCCTTTTCATCTGAAACCACTTGTTTGGCGCCCTGCTTATGTTTAACTAATGTCTGCACATAGTTGCTGGTATAGTTTCCATATTGTCATTCTGTCATACAAAGCAGCTTTTGTGGCTTTTTTTTCTTCCAGGTCATTGATTTATTAGCTTAGCCTGCAGTTATTTTCTGAAGCATTTATTAACATTAAAGAACCAAGTCCAACTAAAAACGTGCCAAACTTCTGCAGATGTTTCGTCCCTGACGCAAAACATTTTTCGTACATTTCACCTGCCCGGCTCGCTTTACCACATCATCAGATCAGACGATTGTTCTTTATCTTGCTTCTTTCTCTTGTCTATTGAAGTCTACCTGTCAGAGTTTGATTTTTACCAAGAAAGTCACTGTGCAGACCTTTCCACCATATCTGATCTTATTTAGGCCAAGCGGGTGAAAAAATAGACCAGAAAAAATGAATGCCAGACATTTAGCCAACTTCAGTTATCACCTGTGGTAAAGGTGATCATTGCACGTTTGGAGGGGCTATTCAAAAACTTTGTATTTTGGAAAAACTCACTTAAAATCAGTGAGTTAGAAATCCATTCCCTCCTCAATGATGCATGGGGTTCTGTACCGAAATGGAGTGGAGACGGTAGCTGTAGTGTTCTACAGATAAGAAGAATTTGCTTTGGTGATAACGTACTACACATAGGGAGATGTTGAATAGGAATATAATGAGAATAGAGAATCATTTGAAACTTTCTGCAGAGGAAGGACATGACATCTTGAAAATATGCAATAGCAATATGAAATTAAATGTATATAATATTGGCATGTGGTTAAATATGCATTTAAATTTAAATGGGAATGTTTCAGCTGTGGACCAAGGCTTTGTTAATGATGTCATCAGCAGAAAAGGAAGGAGCAGTTTTTGTTGCAGGAAGTTTTGGGTCTGATGAGCCTCAGATTCCTGCCAAAGAGTGGAGTCTGGAACAGTTTGTGTCCTGGATGGGAGGGGTCATCTGCAATCTTCACCACTTACCTCCGATTGGTTGAGGTATACAGTTACTAAGAGAAGGAAAATTGCAACAAATCACCCTCTTTGCAGTGTGAATATGAAACTGTCCTTGTTGAACTATCCTCACCTATTAAGCACTACAGTTACTCATTTCATTCACATCGGCACAATTGTATAAATGCATTTCTTTCTTCATGCAACCATCCCACACTTTGCAACCCCTGCTCTATGCAAATACAGTACATCCACAGTTGGATGGTTCTTCACTTTCCTTGCTGAATGCCATCAGAGAGGCCAGAGCAATGACAGATACCAGAACTGCTTCATTTGCACTGCATCAGCTGCTTCCCTATTTTGAGCTATGGGAGAGCAACTGATGTTTTTGGACGACTGTAGAGGTCTCATAACTCTACAACTCTCCTTTGAAAAATTTTGTTTTGTTTAATATGAATAACTCCTACTGTTGAATCTTCAAGTCTTTTAGTTTTTGGTGCTGTAGTGGGGGTGCGTGTTGAGCCTCTGAATGGAGTTCTTCAATGTTGTCGATCAGTTCCCGGTGCAGCGATTGGCTCAGTGGATCTGAAGGACACAGCGTCCTCTGTATAAATGCTGGAGCTGATGCTCTCTCTGCCTGCTGGAGCCCTTGTAGCACGGAGCTAACTGAGGAGCAGAGAGGAGGTTTTACATTCAGATATCAAGTACAACAGGTGAGGAACTGGAACAGAGGAGGTGATGCTCTGCATGGACTTGTGAACAGTGAAGGGAGTTAATTATCAGATTCTCTGAGGATGAACTGGATAATGTTTTTATGGTCTCAGTAGTGGGAGGAGTTATTGTTAGGCAGCCCAGATGCTGCTTGAAGACTCTTTATAGTTTTATGGCATCATATTTAGCGAAAGCAGGAGGCTGTAGGATAAAAGCGGTGTGATCGACCATCCCCCTGGTGTTATGTAGGTCACAGGCCCTCCATGTTGGTCATTGATCTCAGTGATTTGCTGATAGTCCAGGGAAGCAGGTCAGTTTTCCTTCTGCCCTAGAACTACAAATCTCTGTACAGTTAAATCTCTGAAATCACAAAAACTATTTTATCATTTATGATGTAATTTATACTGATATCAAGTTTAAAGTATATAAAATATTGACAGACTAGTTTTTAGATACGAGCGGCTTAGCTTCTCATGAAACATTTAGTGTATTTTTTTTTTTGCATTATTCAACTGCAGCTGCGACTTTGTATTATTTCAGTTACCAACATTGCCTGAAGGGGAGGAAGTCAGGGGTGCTGTTTGAAGGCTGAAAAGCGCACTGTGCAGAGATTAAAAACATACACAGCTGCCCTCAAAATGCCCCACGTTCTGCTCAATCATTGCTTTATTCTCTTAGCCAAACACTGGCTCCATGGAAGCTGTAGTCATACCATTTCTCTTTTAAAAAGTTGCTGTTGCTAATTTTATTTTTCTTTCTGTAACCTGTTATCTCATTATTATCCCTTCCATCCTCCTTCATCCTTTTCCCACACTGTTCACGATTCTTGAACCTTGTTTGTCTGATTTTCCCACTTCGGGCGCTCCTCTCCCTTCTTTATTCTGGATGTCTTTCTTTGCTGTGTCTGGAGACTGTGCAGTGTAGCATCCATGGAGGACATCGACCATGACCCCTCCTCTTCATCAGATGAGCAGGACTCCTGCCCATCCTCTCCTAATCAGATAAGACACCTCGGTGCTGCGCAGGTATCCGTGCCTTTGCAGAGATAAAGATGGAGGCTCACTGCTTCATTTTTTACTAAGAAACAAAACAGATTTTCATTCTTGGAAAACAGGACTTAGATCTTTGATACGGAATCACTCTTTAATTCAATATGTCTTTATTCGCAAAAGAGAAAGCTTTTTTTTTATCATTTTGAGTTCAAATATTTGTCGGCAAAAGTTTTATTTTCTCCATTAAACATGGACTTGGATGCATTACTTTCCAATAAATAAGATAGAGACCTACAGTGCTGTAAGGAAAATATTTCCCACCTTACAGATTTGTTTGTTCAAGTTTCTTAAGTATATTTGACAAAGATTAGCTAACAGCAGCTTTTAAGTTTATTGTTCTTCCATTAACAAACCACAAACCACGTCGTCCTATGTGAAAAAACTAATTTTTTTTGGAAGTAGAGTTTGGGTTTACTACCCAGGTCTGATTTCTACTACTGTGTAAGAATAAAGAAATGATTAAAATAGAAGCCTGAAGTAGGCCAAAAGGCAGCTCACCAACCACTGATCTGAACAGGTTCAATAAGGGTAGAAAAAAGGTGTTGATTTTTTTTTTCTTTGAAAAAAGACTAAATAAAAGGCTTGAATTGGCCTAGTCAAAGTAGGGCTGGGCGATAATTCAATAATGATATATATCGATCGATAGACGTGTGGCGCAATAGAAAAAAACAGTGTCGATAAAAGTTATTTATTTGTTATATTTATTTTGGTCATTTTAGTTTATTCTTTGTCAGTATTTAATAACATAACTCAGGTCTCTTAAGTTATTTTTCTTTAAAACAATTCTGTTATGGTTAAAAAAGTTGGTTAAATAAATATTTAATTGGAAGTCTGTGTTTGTGTTCTTTATTAAAATTAAATCATTTAGCAATATCATAAAATGTCCAGGCAGAGCTGCACATAAAATATGGTTTCAAATCTTTTCAATAATTATCGATATCGATCAATATGCATTTTTTTTTTATCGATAAGCTTTTTTTCTATATCGCCCAGCCCTAAGTCAAAGTATTTATTTTTTATTGGCTTTAATCAGATTAAGATGCTGTGGTATGAACTTCAACAGGCCGCTCCAGCTCAGAAACCCTCCATTGTAACTAAATTAAACAATTGGCATTGAAAAAGGACCTTATTTCCTCCACATTTATAGAAACATTATCACAAACCATTGATCGCAAAACAGTTTTTCTCTGATAATCAAAATCATTTGAGTGTAGAAATAAAAAAGCAAAAACAACCTCTCTAAGGGGAAAGACGAACACAATTATTTATTTAGGTTGTGTTTTTTTATCAAATCAGATTAAGAAATCAGATTAAGTTAATGTTCAAAAAAATGTATGAAAAGATTAATTGGATTAATCGATTTTTGAGATAATCATCAACTAATTTAGTCATTGATTAATCGTTAACTGTAGTAGAGAGACTGTAAAACCTTTAGCTGATAGAGCAACCCTTTTAAAGCAGTAATTATATCAAAATTGTTAAAAATATATAAACATTTTGCATTGAAGATAAATAAAAACAAATGTCTGTCAATATGCTCTATCCAGAACTCCTCAAGTGAAAAAACTTTTGGTTTAACCTGGTTTAATTTGGTAAAAAAATTTCTTTAAGGAACCTTTGGCTACAAGATTGTTTATCGATTAAACAAAAAAATATTAATATTAAATAATAATTAGTTGCAGTCCTAGTTCAAACTAGTGTATGGTGGCAAACCATTTACATAAAAAATCATAAATTCCAAAAATATGATTCAAATTAATTATAAGAAAGAAGGACATTTTTGTCAGTCTACTGGAGAAAGTAATTACTAGATAACTTTTGCCCAACATTTAGTTTACTGCTCCAGTTGATTGTGCAGAAATGCTTAAACCATGGCGATCATTTTTCAAATTTCTGGCGCCTTCTTGGATCTTTGTATCTTTCCCTCCTCGTTGAGCTCTGTTCATTTCTTCTTTCTCATTTCCCATTTGCTCCGTTTCTTTCCTCCTCATCCCCCCGCCTCTCTGGCCTCGGTGTCTCTCTAGCATTTGAGCCATTCAGACGACTCTGATGTGGAGAACATAATGCATGATGCTCCACATTATGAAGGGCAAAGCCAAACCCACCAGCAGGACCTCGAAGTCCACCTTGCAGACGGAGAGTTTGTTGGCCGAGACCGGCCCCTCACCCCGTCTCATTTGGAGCCCCCATCAGCAGGTCCAGCCCTGTCAGACGCAGGTTCATCTTCTGGCTTGTCGCAGAGTAAAAGTGTGGAGTTTGATTTGCCCCCTCCCATCAGTCCTTCCAGACCCAGGAGCCCCTGGGCTTTGTTTGATCCATACAGCAATAATAAGGTAAAAAAAAAAAAGGAGTCTCAGTAAACCCGGATGGTAAAGTTTGGATCTGCTTTGAAGGCGGCTTGCTTTGGCGTTTTTAAAAACACTGTGATTTTTTTTCTGTGAAGAACAAGTTGTTTTTTTGGCTTTCTTGGTCCCTGGAAGCAAAGCTTTGATGCATTTGGCTCCTGTGGTGTTGTTGCCTACATGGTTTTAAATCCTCATGTTTATGGCAGCTGTAGAATGCATTAAAGGTACACTATGCAACCGATGTTGATTTTCCAGCGAGACTCCCCCCAGAGGGCGAAAGTAAAAGTGCACTGTCGTAAATATGCACAGCTGTTCTCCTGGTTTCTCCGTCAAGCCAGGCGCGGTTGTTTTGAGCTTAGCAGACAGGCGAACGCAACGAATGACTAATGCTGCGTTCACACCGCAGCTGGCGCGACAGAAGCAGCGAGTTTACATGCAAAGTCAATGGTTGACGCGCGTCAAGGCGCAGCAAAGGAGCAGCAGGCCCAGCGCGTCTGAGCAGCTGAAGCAGGGAGAGAGACACAGCGCTGATGATCAGAGGCTATGATCTCTCCTCTTAAACAGTTTATTGACGCCTAAATTAACTTAAAATGCAGAAATCTGCCGGCAGAATATGCAGTTTGGATTATTTAGATGAAAAACACCTACCAGCTGCCGCGGTGAACCGCGAGGACGTGACCTGGCCAGAGGCTGCTGATGAAGGGGTTCCTTCTGTCGGCGCACCGCTGGTATGTGGGGGTCTGAGCGGCTCCGACAGAAAAAATATTGAAGGCAGGATTATAATCTGAATGAACTGACGGCACTGATTACGTTTTCAGGTGTATTTTCTCATTTAAACACATATTAAAACTACTTTATTCCAAATGATCACAGCAAATATAGCTGCAAGGCAGAGAAAGGATAGTGAAGCTCCGCCCAACGCGCGTCAGACACACTTTTGCACCGCACAGCCAGAGCAGCAAAGCTGCTTCAGCCGCGTGTCAGAACTAACTGGTTCAAGCAGCAAAAATGAAGCAGCAGACACGATTTTGCTGCTTTTGCTGCGTGAACGTAGCATAACTGCACAAGGATCGCCACTGTGCTAGCAACGAGAATGCTTTTAACTGGGGGGTGTAGCAGTTCTCGGCCGTAAAGCAAGACTGACTCTCACGAGACTTCTGAGCCTGTGGGTGCGGGTCGGTGCTCCTGCAATTGCAAGTGCAGTATTTCCCCCACAGACCACCAGGGCGGCCGAGAATACCTTTGTTCAACCTGAAATGACTCATTTAATCATCCAAAACGTTATGGAACACATTAATTAACTGAAAAATGTTGCATAGTGTGCCTTTAATCTTATCATCATCTCTCTCTGTCATTTGAATTTGGCCAAACTAACTCACATATTGTGTCTGTGTTGCTCTGTTTTGTTTTATTTATATGGATCTTTCCTTTCCAGTTGTTCAATGGTTTTTCATTGCGTCCTTCATGCATTGATAACCTTTTGGCAAAAGAAGTAAAGAATGTGGTATTTAGGCCAATGAAATGCATTGCAGTAGATTTCATTATTTGCTCACATGAAATATGAATTATTATTTGGGTCTAAACATTCACCTCTGAGGATTCCCACTGTCCCAAAATGTATTATCTATTTCTGAAATTGATTTTTATCCAGTTAATTGTTTAATTTTGTCTTCAGTCCAGTTGTTTAAAGTAATTGCCTTTATGTTTGAACCTTTCTATCACTGATGAGGTTTTACCTTTTGGTTTACTTTTAGGATCCAGACAAGGAATATGTGGGCTTTGCAACGTTACCAAACCAGGTGCACCGCAAATCAGTCAAAAAAGGGTTTGACTTCACCCTCATGGTGGCTGGTAAATCCCTGACTTACACTTTTCGAGACATTTGATCCTAAGCTCACCTTTGACTTGGAAGAACTTGTTACTCAGAGTTTTAAGCCTTGCTGATGTAGGTTTTGTCCTTTCTTTGAAGGTGAGTCCGGCCTGGGAAAGTCCACTCTGGTCAACAGCCTGTTTCTCACAGATTTGTACAAAGATAGGAAGCTGCTTAATGCGGAAGGTGAGGAACTGCAGCTTTGAACTTTGATGCATTTGTTGTCTTTTTGCTCATATTTGAAGTCTCTCCTCAGAGAGGATCACGCAAACAGTTGAAATCACCAAACACACCGTGGATATAGAAGAGAAAGGCGTGAAGCTTAAGCTCACCATCGTGGACACGCCTGGATTTGGTGATGCTGTAAACAACACTGAATGGTACGTATCAAAAGTGTAGCGATGGTCTCCCTGAGCTGCTGGGAGACTGAACGCTCCTTTGTGTCTCGGTTGCAGCTGGAAGTCGGTGGCAGACTACATCGACCAGCAGTTCGAGCAGTACTTCAGGGACGAGAGCGGCCTCAACCGCAAGAACATCCAGGACAACCGTGTGCACTGCTGCCTGTATTTCATCTCACCCTTCGGTCACGGGTAGGAGGTTTTTCTCATCCTGAGGAACAATAGCCTTGTTTGTCTTTCTGCACAACATACATGATACAATCTGAAGTGTATGTTCCAGGATTCCTGCAAAGGATTTAGGTTAAATATTTTTAAATTATCTTAATACTGGCTTGTTATATAAATAATTCTTCCATTTTGCTGTAAAGTCATCATCCAATCAGTTTGTCCATCTGTCTCTCAGCCACTCCAAGATTATCATTAATTAAAACCAAAACTAGAAAAATAAAAACTAGCCCTTGAAAAAACATGAAAATTAACTTGAACTGTAATAGTTTATCAAACTAATTAAAACTAATTGACTTCTAGAGAAAATATGCTTTGTTTGCGTTTGTGCCTTTATCATAATGTATTAATATAAGGTCTAGTTTCCGACTGTTATTTTATTTTATTTTTTTCCTAAACTAAACTAGCTAACAAATACAAAAACAAATTAAAACTGAAATAGAGAAGAAAATCAGAAGTAAATAAAAACGAAAGCGTCAAAACTATTCAAACCTTGCTCCATACATCCATTTATCCTTCTAATTGTCTGTCTTTCTTCCTTCTATCTATAAATATCTACATTAAATGCTGTGATTTACAGGGAAACCTTGTTTTTATCGTGTTGGGGAAAAAAATCAACCGAAAAGTTTATAAATTTGATATACTAAAGGCATGAACCTTTGACATTGCTAAACATTTGACAGCTCTAAAGGATGTATCTCCTGCTCAGTTGGCCATTTAATAGTAAAACAGGTAATGCAGGAAGCTCTGACCCTCCTCAGCTCTAAGATGCCTTCAGGAAACTTTAGTATTAGTGCTGCTCTTTTACACTGATGAGCCTTTTCTGCTGATTTGATGCTTTTCTTCCGGCTTGCTCACACTTAATTTTCCACATCTGTGTTACTCAACTAGAAATAAGCTTACAGTGCATTAAAATGTTAGATATGTGAGGAAAGGGCGCCCTCTGCTGGTTAGTCTCTATACATACTCTTCATTTCCTGCGGCCTATTTAATGCAGTTAATGTCTGCTCATACTAAATGTTGGGCTCATCAGACATCTAGAATGTATCTCTTTGTTTAATATGGCGTGTTTCCTTGTGTTTTATGCTCCTTCCAGTCTCCGACCTCTGGATGTTGAATTCATGAAAGCTCTGCATGAGAAGGTCAACATTGTGCCCATTCTGGCTAAAGCTGATACGCTCACCCCGAGTGAGGTGAAGAAAAAGAAAATTAAGGCAAGGCAATCATTTATTTATTTTTCTTCTCTGATAAATATTCAGTGCTGCCTAAATTCTAATGGCACATGTTGCCACAGATCAGAGAGGAGATTGAACAGTATGGCATCAAGATCTATCAGTTCCCCGACTGTGACTCTGATGAAGATGAAGAGTTTAAGCAGCAAGACCTGGAGCTGAAGGTGAGTGGGGAAAAAAAGGAAAGGAATTTCCTCTGAGCAACCGAGCTTGGAGAAAACAAAAAGCTAATTTTAACCACAAAAAAACAAAACAATGGCATGTGTTTGTCTCTAATAGCCTTAAATGAGATCCAGTTGCCTTCTTTAGTCCTCTGAGTAGCAAATAAAACCCATCTGTGTTCCAGCGGGGTACAGAGGTTTGCTAGAGTACATCAGTGAACAGACAGCATAATGAAAACCTCAGAAGTATGATTAATTGTTCTTCCAAAAAAATGGAAAATAAAAATTATAGGCACAGTTAAAAAGTAATCAAAACATGGCTGTCTAACTAATCTGACATGTCGGGTAAGGAGAGCATAAATCAGAGAAGCAGCTAAAAGTCCTGTAGCTCCTCTGGAGAAGTTGCAGAGCTCCACAGCTCAGCTGGAAGAACCTGAAGAATTGGAAAAAAAGCTCATGTTAAGAAAAAAAATTCAGTTTCTTTGTTTGATACAAAAATGCTTGCGACAAAGCAAACAAGAAGAAACACCTTCTTCGATTAAATGAAATCTAACACTACACAATACACAGAAAAAAAAAGCAGCCCCTGATGAAACATGGTGGTAGCATCATGCTGGGGGATTGCTTTGCTTCTACTGGGACAGGAAAGGTGGTCGGAGGTGTAGAGGAGATTGAGGGAGGTAAACACAGAATGTAGCCCTGATAGAAGCTGCAAGGATCTTCCTACAGGACCTGTAACCTCAAACTAGTTTAGCTCAAACTAGCTGATGCGTTAGAATGATCTATTCTAGGTAAAGGCCTAAATCCAGGTGAGAATCTGTGGCATCGATGTTCAAAGATCCTCTTCATCCAAACTCTCTGAGCTTTGGGTGTTCAGCAAAAACAAAAAGGCAAACATTTCCCTCTGTAGATCAGCTCAGATTAGGCTGTGATGAACTGCATCAGGCTCAGTGGATCATTCAGTGCTGTACGCGTCCATCACTAACCAGACCTTCTTAAATCTGTTGAATGTCTAAAGATGTCGTTCTAACTGTTGGGGTTTTACTGTTCTTTCTTTAAGGAGAGCATTCCCTTTGCAGTGATTGGCAGCAACACGGTGGTGGAGGCCAAAGGGAAGAGGGTGAGGGGCCGCCTCTACCCCTGGGGCATCGTAGAAGGTGATTCACAAGTCAGATTCTAGTGGCCAGCAGCCTAGTTCAGATCCACCTTGCCTCTGATCCTATTAGCGCCATGGTTTATAAAGAAGCTAAACTTCATGTATTTTCTCTTTTAGTGGAAAACTCTGCTCACTGTGACTTCATTAAGCTGAGGAACATGCTTGTACGCACACACATGCAAGACCTAAAGGATGTGACCCGAGAGACTCACTATGAGAACTACAGAGCACATTGCATCCAGAGCATGACCCGCATGGTCGTCAAGGAACGAAACCGCAAGTACGATCGTAGAGGACGAGCTGTTGAGCTAATACAGCGGTGGGTTAAAACTAACCAGCATCTCTCTGCAGTAAGCTAACCAGGGAGAGCGGCACAGACTTCCCCATCCCCATGGTCCCCGGAGGCACGGAGAGCGAGACGGAAAAGCTCATACGAGAGAAAGACGAGGAGGTACGGAACGCCCACCGCGAACAGGAGTCGCATCCAGACCCAGTGTCTCAGCACGACGCTGGGCGCCATGAGCCCTCAGCGCCTCAGCCTGGCAAAGGGACACGTTCAGATCAGAAGGCTGACCAAGCTCTCTGATGCTGTTTAGCATCGTTACCTCAAAGTCCTTCTAAACTAAGACTGAAGTAGATTATTTATGCAGATATTTGCACCTTTAGAACAGTTCTCACAAACTGCTGTTAAGTGACAGAAATAGATTTTGGGCCAAATGTTCGGAGATCTAAAACCTCCACAGTCTAATCCTTACAACATCTACTCTGTTATTAGTTTCTGATGTTTCCCACAGAGTTTGAGTTTTGACAAATAGATGGAATAATGTTTAAGGTTTATTTATTTATTTTTCTGAATGGATTGATGATACAAGGAAAAAACTTGATTTTTTTATTTTAAACAAAAAAATAATTTGAAAACTAAACATTCAGGTTTGAATATATACTTGTACCTCTGCTTTTATTTAATTTAATATTTCTCAAGTTGCAGAGAAATATGAGATTTTTTGATGTTATCAAAGCTTCTGGTCTATTTCTAGCTGGATATTTAATTAATTTATTGGCAGGAACAGTAGAGCTGATTCATAGCAGAACTTCTCCTTTCTAATGTAGTCTGCAGGTATTTAATGCGGCTAATGGTGACGCTATTTGCCTGTTTTATTGATTCCCAAACCAGTTTTAATGTGTGATTTGATCATTGGTCCTGCTGGAAAAAACAACCATGTCCAGAGTTCTACTATGTTACTCAATTTTCTCTTTTTAATGAACCTCACCCAGCTGGATCCAGATGGGTTTTCCAACTAATAAACCAGAATATTTTAACCCTGGAATAAAATTGAGGGACATTAAATAGAAACTAACCCCCAAAATCAACTGTTTTCATTTTGAGATGAATTGGGTCCTAAGGGTGCCAATTTGACTTGGTGTTGATGGTGCCGACAAATTATATATATACATATATATATATATATATATATATATATATATATATATATATATATATATATATATATATATATATACATATATATATATATATATATATATATATAAACAGAATCTATAGCTATATACAATATAAGATATATAGAATATATTCAGCCATTTGTAGCAGTGAATTGTGTTGTTTTGTAAGCAGATAGATCAAACTTTTTCCAAATCCTGTCAGAAGAAATGCAGACATCTGTCCCATCTACAAATGCACAAAGTGCTTCTTTTTTTAAATGAGAAATTGTCTCTATTTTACCTAAAACTGAGTCAATTGCTGGGGCATTACAAATGTGTCAAAGGCCCTTCTGACTGTCATCATTCCTACATGTCCCGCCCCAAAAAACACTGCTGACATGTCATTGGTCCGACCCGCTGGTTGTTTGGAGACGGACGTATTAGCAGGGGTCTTTCAGGATGGATTTGTTGTGAGACTGAATACTCAAATCTCACGAAAATCCAGCTTAAAGCGCCAGGGTTAGCCATCCTGATGTTACCGTGCAGATTTTGGGTTTCTTTTTGAAACCTTGTTTAATTGTGTAAACCATTTCAGGGCTCTATGGGTTGAGGTGATGCCACTGCAGTAGAGTTTTCCGGTTGATTAAACAGTACATGTCCATGTATGTTGGTATTTTCTAACCTTGTGTTTAGTTGCATCAGCCTTACTGGTAATGCATAGATTATGTTTAAATGTCTGGTACAAAAAGAACACATAAAACAACCAATCCAGAAGTGCTTCACCGTTCCTGGTGGTGAAAAAGTGATCAAGTATCCAGCTGAGATTATTCCAGAAGTTATTGATGAAAGCAGAGAGTGTCTCCTTTCTTTTCAGCTCATACAGACCATCCAGCAAAGGCTTTTGTGTCGATGGTTGACATGAAGGTTGTATTTGGAACCTATTTAAGGAGTTGTTCACAATTTTCATCATTTAAACTGAAATTTGTTTTAGATCATTTTTATTTCAGGAATTATTTAATTTGCACATGTTTTAAGTATTTAGCAACAATAAATTGACCTCATCATAGGTTAATAGGTTATTTGTTATGACTAATAAAGTAGAGATGGGTGGGGGGAAAAAATCAACATTTCATTGTTCATTGGGGATTAGCCAAAAATAATTTGTACACTTTTTAAAATGTAAAAAAAAAAAAGTGAACAACCTCTTATAGGGTCCACAATAAATGAAACCAGATCTTAATAATTTACGCCGTATATGAGTTTATGTGTAAAACTCAGACCAAGATCAATGTCAGTATATTATTGATCAATATGGGATCATTTTTTGAGCCAAATTTTTTAAATCATTGTTAGGAAGGCAAATTCCTTTAGGAGGGTGAAATGATAGTCATAGAATTAAAGTTAGCAAACAGAATATTTAGGAGTTTGTGATTTTTTAAAAACATGTTATTAGATTTCTATTATTTTTCCTTTAAGATATGAACCTTAAATTCAACTATTTGTTTTTTTATAATTATTTAGTAGATCTCACAGCTGATGATGTATTTTATTATCCTTCTCTCTTCCCCATTTAATCCTCAGAAATCTATTTATTTGGAAATAAAAATACATTTTCTTCCACCACTTGTTTTTATTTTATTTTGAAGGGCATATTGTCTTTAACTAAATAACTGCAGACTGCCACACGGACAGCCCGCAGCTCCCATAATGTTTTAATGTCATGACACAATTCCCTCTGAGGGGCCGCCGGCTCCCTTTGGCTGTTCCCAGGTCACGTGATCCATGCCCATCACATGATCCTGCTGGTGTTATCGATTTAGTTGTGCCTGTAGTCCTGTTTAGATAATTAGCACAGGTCGAAGCTGACATGCCCAGACTTTTATACTTCCGGTTGAAGCTGGATGCTGTTGCTGACATCTTTCTTCTTTCCTCACAGCTGCGGCGGATGCAGGAGATGCTGCAGAGGTACCAGGATCATTTGATCACCCAGTAGGACGGCTGTTAACAAAGAACTCTGCACATTAAAAAAAAAACGGAGAGAGAAAAAATCCCGGCATCCTTCATTCCACAGCTGAACACTGACAGCACTCTGCCCCCCCGACTCTTTATCAGCTGGGATCAGGACGTCTTCTTGTTAACGAGGGGGTTAATATTCTTCCCCTTCCTCCTGTCTTTATTTTCCCTGTTTTGTTGAATTTTCTTAAATCCCACTCAGCCTGTCTTTTGTCCCCCAACCACAGTCCTTCACTTTACATGGATCAGATGGATTTAGCCTCCCCTGCATCCTTATTGCTTCATTTTTTATGTATATCTGTTTCACGTCTACACAGTTAATTTAATTTTCACCTTCAATGCCTCGCTTTGTGACTTTATGGATGTCAGGGGCTCTGCTTTTTTTTGGCCAGTATTTACTTTACATATTTTCTTACTGAAAGGGTCAGCTATTGTTGGCAGTCCTGGTGAGGATGTGTAAAAATCCCTTAAATGAACTAATCTTTCATTGCAGTAGTGTATTTCTGCAGATAGTTGATTTATTCATTAATAAAATAAAAAGAATTCACTGTTAAAATTCTTACTGATCCCCCTTAAAATCTCTCCAACATAGCAGTTTAAATTGATCAGAGTATGTGGATATTTTATATTTATATAATAAAAATCTAACTTACATTGGCCACTTTCATGTAGCTGCTCTTCAGAGGACTCTTATTGGAAAGGAGAGTTATAATTGGCTGGGCAACATGAAGATAGACAATAGTGCCCACTGTCAGGCATGGTAGAGAGCCGGTGATGCTTGGGGACAGTTGCTCTTTTCTGAGGCTTTAGACATTAAGCAACATTTACACAAAAAGCTGCTTTTTTTTCTACAAGCAAAGTGTGAGAATCACGATCCAAAGCATGTGACCAAACCCTCAGCTAAGTTAGCTCAAGATAGATTATTATTCTCAAATTTTTTTCAAAAACTTTTCTGAGATTATTTCCTGCCATAAATGCAGTTTCTTAAAAATAATTTAAAAAGCAACATTCAGATTTCCCTTTCTTTTTCTAAAGCCAGTTTATACAACAATGTAAGACATGTCCTAATTTAAGGCTTTTTACACGTCTGCACCAGGAGAGCCGATGAATGTGGAGGAAGCTGAATTCTCCAGCGGACGCTGTATATATTTTTGCATGCAGTTTTGTAACGACGAGCTCAGATTGTTGGTTTGTTTAATAACCTTTAAGTTTTTCGAAAAAGAAATGTTGAAAAAAATATTTTTTTTATTTTGGTTGGATTTTGTAATGTTTTCTTTAAGGTAACTCTTTAGTTGGGGACTGTAAATGTTAACACTAGTCCTTGAATTTCTTAAAAAGCTTAATTTTGGGTTAAAATGTTTGGACATTCCTCCGGTTTCTATTGGAAAGATTTTTGTTTTAAAGAACTTGACTTCTGTTATTTTATGTTTCTTTGAATATATTTATGTTTTGACTTTTACACATTGACTAATTTTGGAGAAAAGCTTATGAATTCTAATGTAATAGCTCTACAGTTATATTGCAATAAAATATTTTGAAACTGTCATTCTTAATCGGATACTTTTTATCTTTATAAATTCAGTTTTGTGACCTGAACATACAGAACAACACTTTGTTTAAATACTCTTTCTGCATATTTCCTCTTCACTCTAAATTATATATATTTTAATGTCTGAACATCTGTTAAAAGAAAATAAAGTTTTGGTTGGACACAGAAGGCAAAGACATAAGAATCGGTTCCAGTTTGCGCCTATTTCAGAGGAGAAAAGGGTAAGTCATCTTACTTTTATTCCTTGTACTGATAATGGAACTTATTCACATAAAATACTCATGATGGGACCTCTGCCATGCTTTAATTGGTACCAGTTTACTCGTTCTATGTATTCATGTTCTCTTTAGTTTCCTTTATCGTCTTCACACACCGGAACCAAGCCTCCTGTAGAAAAAAAGACTAATTCTCCTTTGAAAAGTTAGGAACATATTAGAAGAAACAGGAAATGATCCTGCAAGGAGTTCATTATATAAAGCAACTGGTCTGTTTTTGTTTTTCAAAAGGCCTAAATTCTGCATATATTTGACCATTGATTGTGTGTTCTATGCATAAAAATGTATGTAAACAAGGAATCCAAGTGTATAAAGTTGGGGATTAATTTCCTTCCCTTACAGTGTGTTAAATGGATGAACCAGTAACTCAGAACAGAATTTAGCAAATAATGCAGATGCTCAGGAAGGTAAAGTACTCTCTCTCTCTCTATATATATATATATATATATTATTTATATATATATATATTATTTATATATATTTTTATATATATATATATAAACAAAACTTTTTATTGCTCACTGTCAAAAATTAAATGACGCTCAGACCAAGGGTCTGTTAGGATTAACAAATTTATTTTTATTTTCTAAATGCCGTAGTAATTGGATCCTTCTTTAGATCTTGTTTTATTATTTTATTGAAGGTGTGCATTCATGCATGTAAATATGTGGTATCCCTGCCTTTGGCCACTTTCTCCTGACTGAACTGGTGTAACTGAGCCAAGTTGGTTGCAGCCTTGCTTTTTTTAGCTCTACCTTTAAACAAAACTCCCAAAACATTGACTTTTTCATCAGTCACTCTGTAACCAGTTTCTCTGTCAGCTTTGGGACATTGTCCATTTGGAAGATCTGTTTACACCCAAACAACTTGAGATGTTGCTTCAGAATTTCCACATGAGGTCCTCTATTTTGTGAAGTGCAGCAAACCAACCCCACACCATGATGGTCCCATCCCTTTGTTTCACAGGATGATGTTCCCCTTTTTTACTCCAAATATAACTAGAAAATAACTCTTAGAGCACAGACCTTTGCAAGCAGCAAATTGTGACTTACATCTTAAACTAATCTGGATCATTACCAAATTTAGCTGAATTTTTTCCTTAGCATGAGACAAAACCTCTGGTTCAATAAATGTCCATAAAATCCATTCATGAGTTTTTCAACTGATCCTGTTAACAAACCAACATAGTTTTGCTTTTCTTCTTGGGTTGGTTTGCACATTTCAGACCAAAGGATGTTCATCTCGTGGACACAAAAACCAGTCTCTTTTCTGAGCTGAATAATGGCTGGACAGTCCAATGATGTATAGTTGGTAAAATTGTTAGAATGTCGCCCCTTCTGGCATTTTGGAAGTTGCACCCAGTGATGAACCAGGCTTGTGCAAATCCACTATTTTTTTCCTTATATAGTTGCAGGTGTCTTTTAAAATTTTCACTATGTTACACAGAGGCACAGGGTTTGTCAATCAGAAGCTTCCAGAGATGTGACATCATCTGAGCGTACACAAATAGTTTAAAGGCATAGTGACCTCAGTCTATGTAAACTTCTGAATATGAAGAAATAAGATATGCTCTTATTCTGACATTTAGGTTATAAAAATAATTTAAGTCATTCTGAAACCCAAAATAGGAAAAAGGTTCATCTGATTTTTAACTGACTGTCAGAATATGTAAACGTCTGGTTTCAATGATGCAGTGTAATTTTTGTTGTCTAAAGTGCTTTTTAGAGAAAGACCTTGCACATAATTAAACAAAAAAAAAAACAGCAAACATTTGTAAACATAATAGAATTTATTTTATAAATTTTATATCTGCCATTCTTCAGAGCGTTTTTACATAATAGATTTATACGCAGTCCGACATTTACAAACTATATACACCTTGAATTTTCTCCATAGGGAAAAAAACCGACAAGTATACTGTTGCTTCTTCAAGTATATTTATCCCTGTGAACCTTTTCTGTCTTTGTTTGTGACACAAGAACATGATCTGCTAAAAATCATTTGCATATAGTAATAAAATGATCTTTGCCTCAGAAATTAAACAAAAATGTCCCTGTTGTGATATCAAAATACAAAAACATTAGTGAGATTTTTTTTTCTAAGTGGCCAAATGTGGTACTAACATCAGGAGGTTTGTGTGGTCATCACCTCCTTGTATATACAGATGTTTTACATGGTCCCAGTGGAAAAAAAGAAAATTTACATTAAATATAAGTTATTCATCAGGACAAATAAGCAACAGTATAAGTTTCAGTCTACATCCGCTTTAGTGATGTGATCTGGACTCCGCTCACAGATCGGTACATTCAGGTTCACTTCAGAGAGCTGGAGTGTCGCTGCTCTAAGTGCTGCATTGAGCCTCATAGATGCTGCTCTCTGAGACGGTAGAAATGTTCACAGTGCAGGCTTAGATAAAGGATGGTTCATTCCCATCTACTGCTCAGGTTTATACCCATGTTAGAGTAATATCAGCGCGCAAACATGGGCGGATGAGACGCCATGTTTAGTGTTTCTGTTAACTAACATCTCTGGTTATCTTAAACATTTAGATGCTGGATCTGTGGGGTATTTTACTTTTTCCAGCTGAATCCATTTGGCTAAAATATATTAAAAGCAGAAATGAAAACATAACTGTAACAGAAAAAAAAACAAAAAAACATGATTGTCGAAACCAAAACTACACATTACTTTACTCTCTGATTGGTATAATCATCAGAGCGGCTCTATGTTGTGTGCTAAACGGACAGGAGGGGGCGCTGTAGCCGTATGCACAGTCAGCGCTGGTGCAGTGGGTGTAGTTCGGTCCATGATTTAGCTGCAGCCTGTCAGCATGTGCCGCTGTTGGAGGGGGAGGAGCTAAGTGCTGCTGTCTGATCCCACCATGCTGTGAAAACATCTACTGCCTCGCTATGTGCCCCCCCACCTTGCTTCAGCGCTCTGAGCCCAAGCAGCCATAAACCAGGAGTGGTGAACTGCTTCCTGCTGCGGTTCTGCAGCAGCTCGTCCCGCTTTCTTCCTCTCTCTCTGCAGCCTGGACATTTTCCCATCTTTACTTCATCCACGCCGCTCAGGCCAGCTTCAGAGTGCTTATGGGGAAGGAGGGCATCGTCACCATGGTGACGGGGTTCAGCACAGTCTGACCCATCAGCTGCGGGTGGTGTGCCATCATCTGGGTGCTTACTGCCGTCTGCTTACTAACGATGGTGGTGGCAGTCACCTGGGTGGGGGAGGTGCCGTTGATGTGAGCGTGGGTGATGTGGCCCACCACGGCGGGCTGCGTGACCGCCACCGTCTGCGGGTAGAAGGCGGGGATGTGTTGGCCAAGGTGAGCTACTGGGTGCACGGTGATGTGACCGATGGGCTGGGGACTGGGGGCTAACTGCACCGAGCTGGTGGTGGTGCAGGGAGCAAGGTGGGTCACCTGTTTGGGACACCCCCCATGGAGGACATGGTTTACTGCCTGAATAACTGAGGGGTGGGACACTGAGGCGTGGGCGATGACCGTCGTCTGGGCAGGGATGGATGGTGGACTGGGAGCGCTGGACGTTGGAGCCGGGAGTATGGGTGGAGCTACTGGCTTGGTATGCAGCTGTGGAGGATTCACTGGTAGCGGCTGATGTGGGGGGGCTCTGTTCAGGGGCGAGATGTGCTGGGTGATGATGGAAGCGCTGGTGGCTGGCGTCACAATCTTCAGCAGCTCAGGTTTCATGCTGTTGGGTGCAGCTGGTACGGCGGGCAACGCTCTCAATGCACCTGCTTCCTCCAGGTCGTCCATAATGTCCTCCCCCTCTGCAACACCAAACACTCACTATTAGAGGCAGCTTTTCCTTAAATTCCGCCAAACTGCCCCGCAGGTCCAGGTGAGCCTACCTGAAGCAGTGGAGGTTGAAGCCTGGTCCTCCTCTGGCTGCACCGTCTGCCTGAGGACCCGGTCGATCTCCACCACATCCATCCACTGGCTCAGGTCGTTCTTCAGCTCTGCCAGGCGCTGCTGGGTGGCGATCTTCTCTCTGGCCAGCCGCTCCATGTCGTGCTCGTACTCTTTCTCTTTGCGTTTCAACGTCTGGAAACAAGGAGAGTCTGCTTATGTGCAGGGCTCAGGTTGATGAAGGCTGCTGGTTTTGGAAACGATTGTAAAAAAAGACTAAAAGTTAATAAACTCCACATCTGGTTTGATGTGAAAACCCAGCTCTGCCTCTATTCTAATATCCACTACGTTTGTGCCTGGTTTGAGATTCAGCTGCTTATTGCCTCCTCTAACCAGCTCTGTGATCCATCGAAAGCTTCACAGATTTTACAGCTGATCATTTAAAATCATTAGTGGGCCTGCAATCATTAAAACAAACTTGTGTGTAGTAGATAAAATTACAGAGCTGCAGCATGAGGGAGGGAGGAGACGAGTATGGAAGGGAGGAGGCCCTATGTGGCAGTAACGCTCTGTGACCCAATTTGCATTTACCAGCTGACTGAGCTGGACTTCCCTGTATGAGGCACGGAGAGTACAACTCATAAAAATCAGACCAAACATTGAGGGGAAATTCAGGAAAACCTAAAAACATCAAGGAAATCACTTTTTCCAAAGCGGTTAAATGACCTTTAAGTAAAAACCTGGAGTTGATATTTATCAGGTTTCTGGTGAAGGGAGCAGAGGCTACGGGAAGTGACACACTGAAACCTGATGACTCAGGCCCATAAAGCCAATTTCTCCAGCGGTGGACTTCCTGTTCGTGCCGACGGAAGCATGCAGGCCGCCTCTGTGCACAGATCCCAGCGGAGCACGCTTCACATGTACGCAAATAGCAAAGGGGGACAAAAGGCGGGCCTAGTGTGGGGCGGCACCTGTCTCTCTAGTCCTTATCCAGGATTAGAACTGAGCGGGCCAAACGCTCAGCGCCTTTGCTGCTCTATAATGCGGGTGTCACTGACAGAGTTTCTGATCTAGTTTTTAAGTTCTCTGTAGATTTAATTTAAATCGACTTCGAATAAAATCAGATGTTAATGGAACCAGGAAGGACTGGGAAAATCATTAAGATTTTCACACATAAACTGGAAAAATTATCTTCAAATAAGTAAAAATTTCTTAAATGTATATATCCTTAATTTGAGTAGGCGAATGAGATGATTTGCCAATGGAGTGAGTATTTTTACTCCTAAAATGACATAATTAGATAATATGCACTTGGAATAAGACAATGCAATTATGTTTTCTTATTTTAAATGTAAATTGTCTCGTTCCATTGGGAAAATGTTTCTTTTATCTTGTCAATCCAAGAACAAATGCACTTATTTTAAGAAAAAAAGACTTATCTAGATTTGGATTTTAAATATTTTACGTTGTGCAACTACTTTAATAATCAGATAAAAATAATAATAAATATTATCTGATATTTTAAAGAAATAATGTAAATTATTATGGAAAAAGATTTATCCAAACAGCTTTTCCCTCATTAAGAAGAACCCTCCTTCCTTGTTAAAACAAGAAATTAGTTGGTTTAACCACATCCTATTTTTAATTTCGCAAATAAAATGAATTTGCTGTGAAGCATTTAGGTCTACTGCAGACTCATGAGTTCAGACATAAGCATTTCTACCTCTGGAGTATCAGAGAAAAGATTAATAAAAGGGGGGGAAAAAAAAAACTTGCTCTTGGCAGAAACAAAAAAGCTCCACCAGCTAGTAGAAGAACTTCAAAGCTTTACAGCTGGATTGATCAACATCATTTAATGCGGCAGAATGTCGGCAAGAACGGGTGGAAAATAAACTAATTTATATCAGATAAAGCTCTGAAGACTGGGACCTTCAGCTTCATCCCACAAAGGACCATTTCCTTTATTGGACTTTCAATACCCGGTGCTTCAACACGTCTTTATAAAATGATCACCTTTTAACACTCCGAGATATTCAAATCAAATATCTTTAAACATTCAGATATTGAGACATGGAAGTGTGATGAGAATAAGCTCAGCACAGCACTGTGCAATGAGTCAGCAGAACATCAGCGTCTGACTGACTGATAGCATGATTTCTGTATCATGGAGTCAGAGACGTCTGCGCACAGAAGGGACCTCTCGGAGAACCAGCAGATTCGTGTTGACGTCACTGGAATGCCTCCATCTTTGTTTGTCAGGGAAACAACCAAAACCTTCCCAAGGTTTCCCCTCCAACCTTGGACGCTTATGAGGGCGTCTCTGATGTCGCCTGAAGATCTACATCGGTACTTTTAAACTTCAGTTTTGCAGAAAAAGAAAAAATAAATAAATAAAACACCTGGAACGCTTTGCTTTTTCGCAAAGCAGCCATGATAGAGGATGGTGTGACTCATGAAGAGAGAATGGGACAGAGCTCCAGAAGCAAACCTGTTGGTGGAGGCAGCAATGTTCTAGCATCTCCATAATAACAGTGATCCTGAGATTAAGCAGGTGAACCTGGCTAAGTCTGCAGCCGATGGATCAAACACGCCTTTTTCAGCATGTTAATCATGTCAGCAGGTTGGTAGGACACAAGGTGCCAAGAACATTTTCATTCTTTGCACATGGGTGCACTCCTCCTCCTCCCACAGACAAGAGCCTCACCTGAGCTCTACGTGGGAACGTCTAGATCAGCACACAGATAGGCTAAACTGTGTGTGTTTGAGTGTGTGTACGTGCAAGGTAAACACCAGCACAGCTTCGTCACAAGCAATGCGAGTGCCGAGCACATGGCCACAGAGACAGAGGGAGGGAGGGGGGGGTTGAAAGGGAGTAACACAAGCTGTACTCACTGACTCACTGCTGCAGCACGGCTGGTTCCTCTTAAAGGGCCAGCAGCACCAAACGCCACGTTGCAGACATGCTGCTTGGCCTGGCCCACTGGCACAGCTTCTGCAGAGGTCTTGTGACGCCCTGGTTACCATAAAGCATTGTTTTCCTTGGCCCTCTAGCAGAAAACAGGAACTTCACGTGGTTCCTGCCTCTCACAATTAAAGGCTTGTCTGAGGGGGAGAAATATTGACTTTCTAAATGATTTCTTTGTGTACAAACATTTACCAACTCATAACTGGCCCACTTAGAGCAAACTTATCTGAGGTCCAGGTGTTAAATAACTGTGGTTGCATGTTTGTTCTCATGCCGCCAAATAATTTGGTTTCAGTTTTACTTTAAGAGTTTAATTCGGTTTGTTGGATTTCAATATTTACTTTTGCTTATAAAATAGATCTTTTTCTATTTTGTGCCATAAATCAATTTTAATCAACTATATAATTATCAGACCACGTGTCATTAAAAATATATATTTTTTCTTATTTATTCACTGAAAACAATTTAAGCTTCATTACATTAACTGTTTGATTGTTCTTAAAAACAGAAGCTTCCTAAAGGAGAACATAAAAAAAAAAAAAAAAATTGATGAATCGCGGGACATTATTACAAAAGAAAAAAATCAAGTTAAACATTCAGGAGTTTACTGGCATTCAGAGGCAGGCAGTGGAGGAACAAGTTGATTCAGGAAGGGGAGAGAAGCTCCAGCAGAGTAAGCTGAGCTTTGTGTTCACCACTCCACACTCCCTCCCTGCTGCTGGCAGCTAAGCCCCGTGTTCCAGCGAGTCCCGTCTGTAGCTGCACTGGGCGGAGGGAGGGAGGGGGGGGGTTGGTGACGTCTCGCTGCCTCGGGTAGCCATGTGCTTGCTGCTCATGTGGACTTAAAAGCTCAGAGGGGCCGGGTAGAGGAAGGGAGGGGGAGCCAAGAGGAGGAGCTCTAATGAGTCGGCTTACATTCCAGTCTCACCGATTTGTTCTTTTATTTCTGTTTTATGAAGCAGCTCGCTAACTCTTTAGAGCGCCGTCATATTCAAACTAAAAACAAACTGGCATCTATGCATGAAAGAAGACAAAGTCGGTTTTCATCTTAGTTGAGTCACAAGGATAAGATGCCATGAGGAAGTCAGGATGTTGAAAGTTGGTAACTATCCAGTCTGGCTGGTTTGTTGTGACATAAACACTCTGGGTACACTGCATTTGAAATGAGACTAAAGCCTCTTACACATGGCTTTTTTTTTCTTTTTTTTCCCCTGAGCTGTGTTTTAGTGAAGCTGCTCCACCTCCTGCTGTCGGCCCAGGATGGTAGGAACAGGGGCGGGGTGAGGTGGACACGTGTACCCACGCCTCTGCTTTATCTTGTTTTCCTTTTAAACCAAAGTCAGTGTGTGTGTGTGTGCGTCACTCCACCACCCGCCCTGCCACTGGACAAAAAAAAATCCTCTTGTTGGGAAAAAGCTATGCACAAGTTCAAATACGGCTAGATTTCTGTGTGACCTACAATATAAGAAGTAGGTTCTGCACAACTACATAATGGAGGAAGCAGTAATAGGAGTTTTATTTTCCTCTTTGTGCCTTAAAGGGGGGGTTCTGTCAACCAAGTCATTATGAGAAGCAGAAGCTGGAGATGTTAGTGTGCCAGTTTATCAAGACGGACACAGCGGGATGCTAAATGACAGAGGGAGGCGGAGTGATGAGCGGTGAACCCACGCTGTCCCACTTTCCCCCTGAGAGGATGAACCAGACTGCTGCTTCTCCAGATCATAGCGGAGCCAAAACAACCGCCTTAAACTATCATAAATCTGCTCCCCTGAAAAAATGAGGAGCCCGGATAAACCCCTCACTGGTTGATGTGTGAGTTACCAAATAAATGTTTAAAAACCAGCAAATTAATCAGCTTCCTAATTACTGCTGTTGCCTTCATATCAGTTTTTTAAAGATCCATGGAGACAGAGCTCCTAGTCCTGTGAGACAACGCTCTAGAGTAAGGAAGTTTTCACTGAGAGAAGAAGACTCAAAGTTGGCTATTGAAGCGATTTAAATAAAATGAGACAAATGTAAGACAGTTTAAAAGTAACCGTACTTTCTTTAAAGGGCTGCAGTTCATTATTCAACCCAGCATAGTAGATCTAAAGTATGGATTTACATTCTCAAAAATAAACACTGTTAGTAGCCATCACACCTACTCGGCTGCTAATCAAATATTTCTCCTGTTAGATTTCCTAAGAATAAATCAAACCGGTGTTGATAGAACCAAGCTGAATCCCAACCAGATTAGAACTCTGTTCTGGCATCACTTCAGATTCTGCATTTAATGATCGTTTGAAAGGAAGAAATTCAACATCTGTATGCTTTTAAAAACCTGATCCTCACCTTATTAAACTGGGCCAGCTGTGGACCTTTGCACCAGCAGTTTCTAACCAGAACGCCCACACTAAGTCAGACATGGTGAGCTGAGCGAACAATTATCATGGTACTAAATTAAACTGAACACCTACCAAGTCAAATCCAAGGGATGTTTAAACCGAGCTTTAAATACAGATTTAAAAGCTTTGTGCAGAGGATTTTCCACTTGTTTACTTGTACTCCTATTGTGCCGTATTTGATCCAATCACACTTTCACAGTCGAGAAGCAGGTTTCCTGTCCTGCCACTCCCTCCTCTGAATGACGCCGTCTTCAGAATGGAAATTACACTGAGGACGGACAAACCCGCTCTAAAGAAATCTCAGTAAGATCCACTGGCGGCAGAACAAAGCGCTCACCTGAATGTATCTCAGCGCGCTTCTCAACACGCTGAGGTTGGAGGTTTTCTTCTCGTCGATGTTGGGGATGTTCTTCTTCAGCGTTTCAAAGCACTCCTTCAGGTGTGCTCGTCTGAAGGACACAATGCAGACAGCGGCTGATTAAAACTTTGAATGAGGTTTGATACCTTCAAATTTCAGGTAGAGAACAGGGAAACCTCACCTGTTTTTCTCCAGCTTGTTATGCACTTCTCTTGTTCCGGCCCTGCAAGAAAAGCAAAAACCCTCAGGTCCAATCAAATACTGTTCAGTCATTATATTTGATCATATTCACTATAAAAGTGAATTAGAGTTCTAGCATAAGGTTTACACTGGAAAAAATCAAAATCTAGATAAGTCATTTTTTTATTAAAATAAGTGCATTTGTTGAATTGAGGAGGTAAAAGAGACATTTTGCCAATGGGACAAGACAATTTATACTTAAAATAAGAAAACATTTTATCTAATCGTCTTATTTTAAGAGTAAAAATACCCATTCCATTGGCAACTATCTCATTTACCAACTCAAATTAAGGGTAAATACTCTTAAATGAAGAAATTTTTACTAATTTCTAGATCGTTTTTCCAGTGTAGATTGAGGTTCAGACGTACCCTCCTGGCCTCTTCTTGCTGTCCAGCTGACGGCTGTCGTCAGGAGGGCTCGTCCGGCCCATGGAGCCGTTCTGAGGGGGGGTGGGCTGAAGCAGAGGGCTGGGGTGGGGGAGTAAGGCTTGGTGCTGAGGGGCTGAGATGATTGAACCTGCATAGCACTGAACCACCTGCTGCAGCGTGTGCTGCTGCGCTTTGGTGTTGCTTTGGTCGGGGAGCTGAGGGGGGCTAAGGTGGTTCTGGATGGGCTGCCTGGGGTTGACCGTCACTGTGGGGGTCGGGTGGTCAGCTTTGGGAGGTGGGGAGCACCTGGTTACAGCAGAGCTCTGCTCCTGAGGGTCTCTCTTAAGGAAGGCCAGGGACTGACCGGCTGGAGGGGAGCGGGTGGTGACAGGTAGAGCCGGCGACCCTGCAGGGTTGGGGGTGACCACCGGCATGGGGAACACGGTGACGGGTGTGGAAGGGTGGGGCAGGGAGGGTGGTATGGGTGGCGGGGGGCACGGCGTGTGATATTCCTTAGCTTTGGGGACATTGCTAATACAGACTGTGGAGTTATAATTCACATCAGGGTAGATATGCTCCGTCTTCTGCTGCAGAAGCAGCTTCTCCTTCAGTTCATCCTCTGCGGAACAGAAAAGGAGCCGCTTAGCAAATCTAACAGCCCCCTCATTACCACGGAGCAGGTAATTCAACTTCACCATGTTTTCACCTTAAATAGACCTTTTGTACACTTTTGCTTAATTTTTTCTTTAAAGTAGCTTTTAAATTTGACCCTTTAGGCCTAAAACATCGTTTGATGAGCAGTCTGACACATCAGTAGTTCAGCAGTAATGCATCTATAAGCCTGTATCCTATTTTCCTGAATGTATTTCCGGTCAGATTTTCCTATCCTGAAAAACAGATTGATCCCAGCGCTTCCCTGATGGATGAAAGCAATCAGAATTAAATTTGCAATGACCGATAAGAGGTCAAAGGTTGTGAAAATTAATGATCTGGTCCTTGGATTATCGTTTTTATGGCTGATGCTGATTATTTTGGCATCAAAACATCCCATCGCCAATACATGCTGCCGATATTTTTGGGCTGATTCTTGAAGCCGATATTGCTTTTTCTTCTTCCATTTACGTGATACAATTGACACGGTGATAGATAACAAACGTGACACAAGGTGCATGTTTATTAACACAAAAAGAGTTTTAAAAACAGAGGGTTGCTCGTCAATTTTATTTCAGAACATATATCTACTTTATTTCTTCTGTAACTTTTGAATATGACTGATATAATTCAGAAAGAATTGGGCAGATTTAAATGTCTGTGGTAAACCACTGATTGATCCTCCCGCACCTGTTGAACCGTTTACCTGCCATGCCTCAATAATTGTCCTCAAAGTAGGAAAAATACTAAAAGAACAGGATGTTCTGCAAACCACACAGGCCCACTTCTGTAAGATGTGGTACCTGGCATTATCGTAGTCAGAACATACATGACAAAAACCACAAAACAAGTGAGACACTTCTAATAAAAAAAAACAGAGTTTTCTATAGGTATTATATAACTGCAGCACATAGAGACACTGGCCTACTTTCCTACACACACAGTGACCTGCTCTACAGCAGCAGAGAGGAGGAGGAGGAGTCCGCACCCCCAGTGCAGCAAAGCAGGAGGAGTTGAGAGGAGAGAATCACAAGGTCTCACTCTGATCCTTTTCCTTCCCCTAAAAGCTTCAAAAAACACCAAATCCAGCAAAGATTAGGCTTTAAATACATATGCATGATTTGGTTCTCTTCAGGTACTCCCATCTCAAATTAACACATATTGTCTCTATTTCGCTGCATAACTGAGAATGCACAGTGTAAGTTAAGTGTGTGAGAATATTATGACACCCAATTTATGAAAACTTTCTATACAAAATCCTCTCACTTTCCCTGTAAGCTTCAGCATCTCCGCCACCAAAATAAGCACCAAGGGTTGACTTCAAAGACAACAACTGTGTATTTTCAGCCAAACACATTACTGATATTCTGTGGGATCAATGCATATCAATTAAAATATTCAAATTTTCATTAACTCCCCTGAATTAATGAACATTTTCATAAATAATATTACACTATAGTTCGATTATATGGGTATTAATGTTCTGATGAAAGAGCTTTTCATAGAACACCAAAATACATTACTCACCATATTAAAGTTACAGTGCACACACACAAAAAAAAAAAATACTATTAATAAGTGTTTAGCCATTTGGTGTTGTGCTCCAAAGAAATATATAAGTAAGCTTCTAATATTGCAAAACGAAGCCACGCAACTAGCCCTTTGCTGTACATCATGAACCAGCATAACTGTACGCATTAAACTCCCTCTTAGTTATCAGTTGAGAAAAGATTATTTTGAAAAGTTTCTCTTTTTTTTTTTTTTTAAGATGAAGCAGAAGCCCTGGTATTCTAAAATAATATGTTAATGAAAGGCAGTTACAATTACTCTAAAAGGCAACAAGCAACTGACCACATAATTGTTCCAGCAGCGCAAACCTGTGCCTTGTTATATGGAGCTGCTGATCAGTGGAACAGGCCGTCTGCAGTTGCATAAAAGGGTCCACGATGTCAGATGTTTTAAAGTCATTCTGAAATTCTTTTGTAGAACTTTTTCTTGGAAAAAAAAAATAATAATAATAATTTATCGTTTATTGTTGTCTTAATCTTCACTTCAACTATATTTTAGTGTATACTTGTATATATTTTTTAAAAATACTTTTGATGTATTTATTGTGATGATGGACCCCAACGTCGGAACAGCTTAGCTCTCAGAGGTTCTGAGTTCAAGTCCCACAGACTGCCTCTCTGGGTCCCTGAACAAGACCCTTAACCCCACGCTGCTTCCCAGGGGGATGGGTTAAATACAGAGAGATAATTTCATTGCTCTGTACTTGTGACAGTGTAATGACAATAAAGTTTAATTATATTCTATGAATAATTGCTATCAAGTTCTGCATCCAAATATCAAACAAATTATATAAAAAAAAAATAATAATTAATAAAAAATTTGAAGCAGCTAACAACCCAAATTAAATCAAATTATCCACTGTAAAACACCTTTGACAATCTACCCTAGCCGTTATAAAATTACTACAACAAATCTCTAAAGGAAATATTGTACCAAAAGCTTCTTTTTCTTTTTAAATAAAAAAAATTATAAATATTCTTTTCACATTAAACTAAATATTTAATCTACAGCTAGTTTAATCCTCACTATTAAGTTCTGTTTTCAGCTCCCGCCTCGTGTGTCTTAGCAGGAAGTAGTTATTTTCATAGAGAAGTGACTCATCTTTATATAAACAATCTTTGGGAGGGGTTGCCCAGCAAGCACGTGGTAAAAAGGGCGGAATCTGCATGCCTTTAATACGTAGAGGGCGTGGTTTGTTGATAGCGCGTCACGGACAGAGATATAAAGCCTGAGAGGAACGAGAGTTTGTTTCTTGCTTTACTTTTTAAAATAAAACCGATCCTAAATAAATAAAAAATATGCGGCGATGCCAATAGGATCAAAGTGTAAATGTTTAAGCGCAGCCTGACTGAAGAGGACAGATGAACGTAAAGTAGACATCTGATCCCTTCTGGTCGCTGTCAGGTCATAGTAGAAAAAAGGAGCCTGGTTATTCCCAGCGCCACCGCCCTTAACACCCTCCCACCTCCACGTTCTGGCTGCTGAATTATAAATTAAAATGTTTTATTTAACTGTTCTTTTTACGGCACGAGCGCGTAATCCTTACAACTCTTGAGGTAAAAGCAGAAATCATCTGAGAACTTTACAGTAATAAGTGCGCAGCAGGTTTCGATGCACCAACACTGATGCTCACTGCGGTAAAAGGTAAAATTAAATTTACCCCTCACGGATTAAATAAACCAGCTACAATTGAAGGCGTCTGCAGGCAAACACAAGTACGAAAGTAAAAGTGCTAGTTGACATTTCGCAGATTACCCACTTCTGGTATTACGGATAAGATTACAAACCGCAGGAATAGCTTCTTGAACTGTCGGGAAATGATAAAGATACAAACATCGACCTTTTTGTTGCCTATCGATCAATGAGTGTAAGAAAGATGCATCGGGAAATAGATCCGACTTCTTATTACGGATAAAAAAACAAACTTACCACGTGCTTTCTGTTGTTGCTGGGCTTGTACTTCCAAAAACTTGGCAGCTTCTAGTAGCGTTTCGATGCTCATTTCTGTGTAATGGCAAATAAAAAATAAAAATAGTGCCTGGGAATTATATTAAAGAAAAAGCACCACTGCGAACTCGGCTGTGTACCACAGTGCGGGAAGAGGTTCCCAGACTGACGCTGGGGGAGGAAAACAAACTGAAAAAATGAAGTAATCGGATGCTCCTCCTCCTCCTCCTCTGCAGGAACTCAGCCACTTACGTAGGGTTACAAACAAGATGGCGCCCAATACGGTGTGAATCACGCAGTGTATGGCAAGCTGTTTAACATAAATTCGGTTGTACCGCCTTTACATTCAAGCTATCTCATTAAAATACGACAAGTAATTTCAAGATATCGCGATTTTAGTTTTGACTAGTTATAATTCTTTAAATTAAATATATCTCAAATGCCACCATAATTCAAGATATCTTAAAAGTATTTTAGGATAGGAGATATGCAGTTTTGACTAATGAAAACTGAATTATAGATATCTTAAAAGCAAATAATAAGTAGACAAAACAAATTTAAAGATATTTTGAATGGTAGATTCAATATAGCTTATATATATATATATATAAGATATTTTGAATTATTCAACTTTAAATTGACATTCTGACTAGTCAAAATTACATAAAAGAGGCTAACACACAATCTCTTACTTCAGATATCTAAAATACTGACAAGTCATAATTACGTTCGAGATATCTTATATTACAATTACCGATGTGTGATGCTTTAAATGACGAATCCGGTGACCTAATTTGAGATATCTTGAAAGGAATTTTGACTAGTCTAAATGTAATTTAAGATATCTTGAATTATTATTCTTCCTAATCAGAATGTAAATACAGATATCCTAAATTACCATTCTGGATAGTCAAAATGTGGTTTTGTCTAGTCAAAATGTATTTTAAGATATCAGAAATATAATTATGGAGTGTCATGGTAATATTTTGTAAAATAGATTATTGTATTGTATTTTATTACATTCATTAAAATTTTATCATTACATGAAAAAATAAAGAAAATGTTACAACTTTAAATTTACAGTCATATGTTTATATTACTGATATGTTCCAAACGAAATTTCTTTTTGTTTTACACTTGTGTAAACAAAATGACAAATGAAATCTAAGTCTTTAAATTCAGACGAAACCGAATTTATGTTAAAACGGCTTGCCATACTGGGTTGGAAACGCCCACAGACACGTAGCCGTCGCCACCACCCTCCGCGGGCTCAAGAGGAGGACAAAACACGGACCCAGAGTCGGACTGATGGTCTTTTAACGCTCCACGTAGCGCATTTCTGACATGTTTAGAATGTTTTACTGTCATCAATGGCGTCCTCTGTCCGTCCATGGTGGAGGGACAATGAATAAGGAGTTTATTATTCTCCAATCATCTGCTTGACCTCATTTAACGCCTGCAGTTGTCAAACCTCACGCGCCATCCTCGTGACCGGCGTGCTTTTGTTAGAAAAAATGTAAAAAAAATCAAGACAAAAGTTTGCGTCGTAATCAGTTTCGTGTTGCCCAGCAACCGCTAACGTCGTCAATATGGCGACCAGACTTCCAAGTAATTTCTATCTGACGTGAATTCATTTTTCAAGCTCTTATCTGACACAAAATAGCAGCAAAAAGAATAAGAAAAAGTTATTTAATTTTATAAACTGATCAAATAAGTTATTAATGTGGTAAAAATATATGGAAGGAAATTTTTTAGGTCTCCTGTCTCTCTTGAAAAGACTTTCAGTATCTTAGTTTTATATTTTTGTTAAAATGAAAGGTTATTTTAGTCTGAAAAAAGTAAATTACAAAACCGTACTTGTAAAAGATTGCAATTTATACATTGCTACTGGGTATATAGCTAGTGCAAGGAAATATTCAAATTACTTTGATATATTTCTTGCAAATAAGTAATCCAATACTCAAAACACACAATTAAATAGTGATTAAAATAAAAAAAATATTTCAAATGTATAAATTTTTAATATGCAATCTTTTCTTTACCGCAATTCTGCAGGCATTGTTTTAGGAATAGAGAAACTTGTGTTTCATAGTTATCCATCTGTCTGGGGACCTTTAGGGAGTATTAAAAAAATTAAGGTTATAAAATAAAGCCCATAAGATTTGCATAATCTGTGTGTGTTTCTAAAATAAATTAAAATTTTAGCAGGCATTAAATAAATTAGATTATAGAGTATGTGTTAAAAGTAATTTTTAAAAAGAATTGCTGTGAATATTTGGCTTTACAAAACACCACAACATATACGTACTGATAGGAAAAAGTAATATTTAAAATTCTAATAATATTATGTTATGTTTTACAGTAAAATTCTACTCCAACATTTTAATATCAAACTATGATTTAAAGGTGAAATAAAACTATTAATAAAATAAGAGCCTTAAGGTTTTTAAAAGGTCACATATTTTAGGTTGTGGTTAAATTACAGGAAGCCCGATCGTTCCAAGGAAGTTGAATTCATTGATAAAACTAACCTTTAGGGAACTTTTTATGAAGTTTACATTCCCAACATTACCGATCGTTTTCAATGTTTAAGAAATATTAACTCTTCACTTTCTGACAAGACAAATTAAAGAAAATTCCTGTCCAGAGGATGATCACAAATTTTCAGCATCTAGGAAACATTCTCTAAAGGTTATGGAATGTTTAGGGAACATTAGAGTTTTGTAAAGTTATCACCAAATAGTGATATATTCATTAAAGTCCTTCTAGAAAATGCAGGAAACCATTGCACTTCGGGGTAATGTTTCAATTCAAAGGGAAGTTGTTGGGTTTGTTTTTTTTTTTGGTTTTCTTTTATAAAAACTAAATTATGATACAATTAAGAAATTGTTTTAGCTCATATGATTGAAGCATTGACCAATCAGGCTCGTTTCCACTTGTGTTATCTGTAAAGCAAATGTCCTAAAACAAATTTTTAGGAAAAACACATCAATAAGTTAAGCTGTTAACCTTCTAAACCTTAGCCTGGAGACAAAATAAAAGAGCAAACACAGTTGGTTTCGTTTAACCCCCCCCCCCCCAACCACATACACACAGATCGGTCGAGTCAAAGTCCAGCCAGACTGAGGCACATGTTGTACGGTCAGGAAGTACTCTGTCTTTTTTTTTTAACTACAGGGATCGTGCATGCACTAGCTGTGGATGTTTATAGCCTTTTTCCTGTTATTGACTGGGCTCTAATACGGATGCATGTCAGCGACGGCAAAGTAATAATAGTTGGTTTTCCAAGTACAGGAATTACTCCGAGACGCCAGGAAATTCCTTAAAAAGGAACATAACTAAAAACGTCCAACAATGACATTTCAAAATCTGGTCAATTTAACAGGAATCAGTGCTGAAAGAACAGGGCAAGGGAAACTTCTACGCCCTCTTGTGGTTACTTTACTGTACTGCTCGATGAAAAAAACCCCAAAGCAGATATTTTATTTTAAAAAAACGACATTTATTCCTAAAGTTTCAACAGAGCTTTTATTTTAAGAGTAAAAATTACCTTAAAAGGTAACCTAACAAGAAAAAAAGGAATATAAAATCTCAATCAACATGAGCCTTTTTTCAATTTTATAAAACTGTAGAAATAATTTCTAAATCAATACTTCACAATTTTAAAACATGACCCCCTAACTAGCCCCAGTCTCCCTGAGCATCACACCTTCCCAACAGATTTTAAAAGAGTGTTTCTAAGGTATGTACGCAGCTGATTCATCAGGTCTTTGTTCTGACCTTCGACCCAGTGCATCTCAATCCCTACATCCCTTCCCTCTGGAATCACATTCAGCAGACACTTGAACAGAAAGTGCTCGTTTCCACTGGGGGTCCCGGGCCGTCCGTTGTCACTGGTGGTTGCATCAGCAGGAGTTTTCTGGTCTATTTTCCGTCCTGGTTCTGCACAGAGGGAGGAACTCTTATCCACATCCTCATCCCCTGCATTTCCTGGTAATTCTTCCACTTCTTGTCCTCCAGCTGTGGTCACTGCTTCTGAACTCAACTCCTTTGAGGAAACCGTGGAGATGGGCTGGTTTTGGGTGGAAACTGAACCAGCGCCGGTTTGCACAGAGGTTCCGATACCGGGGGGCGCCCTGGGAAGCTCTCGGAGCTGACGGGTCTGTTCACGCCTCTTCTGACGGCCGTGGATCCAGGTGTTTTCCACCGCAGTCAATAAGAGGCTCTGCTCCTGCTGTCTGCAGGGGACACGCTTATGCAGCACCTGCAGGAAGACAATGGGACCACCGATGAGACCACCAGACCAGAAGAGCAGGAGCATAATGAAACAATCTAAGTAAAGAAATGCAAAATACGACTAAGCAGCAACATAGGCGTCATAAACCGTCCTCTTTGGTAGAAGTTTATCAGCATCTGAAGCTTCATTTGACAATATTTGTCGACTACTTTGCAAATATTTCTGAGATCATTTGCTTGTTCTCTTATCTTTTTAGCAGATCAGAGATAGACTGGTATATCCAATATTTCGGCTGATAGTTTTCTATTATCTGCACTGGGTGATATTTTGCATTTTGGTTAAAATTGAGATTTGTGTAACATTTTTCACTTCTAACATGTAAATGGAGTAGGAGAAAGCAATATCGACCTAAAACCTCGTCTTGCCCGAAAAAAGAAAAAAACCCAGCACATATTAGGATTTTGTTATATTCACGTCAAAATACCAGGTATCTGTCTTATCCCTTTAAAAAGAAACACAACTTTGCAGCAAAAAAGCCAAAATCATGAGGTCAGATGTGGTCTGCAAGGTTTTGATGTACTTGAAGTACTTACCATGTCAATCTGTTCCTACACCTGACTTCTGTGATCGCAATATCTACACTCAATTGCGTTAAAAAGAAAAAGTAATATATAATTTGAAAACTTAACAAGATAAAAAAAAAAATAAAAAGCCAATTCAATAAGTAATAAGCTAAATAAAAAATAAAAAATAAAAGTTCCTGTATCAGCATTAATGTTTAGTATCTCTGTTTTTTTATTAACTCCTTATAGAAGCAGTCTTTGGATCTTATTTAGCACATTAGTGTAAGTGACTGTTTTTGATGAATATATAACCTTGATTTTTTTTTTTTACGTTACAAAAGTAAAGTCTTGATCTGTCCTCCCATAACACTGTAGATTTCAAATGCTAAATTTCAAAGTATTTCAATGAGGGCCCTATAAGGTTTTAATAAACCTTCAACAATCAATCTTTATCTCAGACACTTAGACTATTTTTGGTTTAAAAGTGTCTCATCTCCATATCAAGAACTCCCCAGGCAGTTTTTATTGATGATATGTCGATCTTTTGTTCTTTTTGTACCAAATATACTTTTGTAACTGTGACCAGAAGATTATAAAGCACTTACAGCAAACTGTAAGGATTTCTCCAACAATGTTTTTTTTAGCCTAGATCACTGCTGTCAAAGTGGTTCTAAACAGAGCTGTGTGGCTGCTGGTCTTCTATCCAACCAAGCAGTAGCACACCAGACTCCAGTCATCCCAGCAAGTCATCAGGTTAACGTTGAGGGTTCAAGCGATAGTTTGTCCCAATCCTTCAGAGCGATCTTTGGTCCCGCCCCACAGATCCACACTTAAGCTAAGCGTGCAGCAAAGCACCCTTCGGTGAAGTGAATTGCCCGCAATTACATACTGTGACATGCTAAATATTAAAGCGGATTATTACGCCCCTGTACTTTGTCGTTTTATTTTGATAAACATAAAATTCACTGTAAATCATCCAAAAATCCCAATCAGAAAGTTTTTGTTCTCTAAACTGAAATTCAATCCATTACCCTTCACCACAAGCTCTGGTTTTATTGATCATTCAGAGGATCATTTGCGACAAGAAGCATATTTTCATGAAAGATTGATATGTAAGGGAATGGTTTCTGTTAAAGATTTATTAGACGTTTATGGACCTGAATAAGCATAACCCTTAGATATAAAATATGCCAAACCATACCTCAGCCATTAAAGGTACAGAGGACGATCTTTTATTTCCGGGTGGATCATCTAAATAAGTGGTCCTCCTAATTGTCAATCATTCTGGTGATATGTTTACATAAGGCCGTCCTATGTGCTCGTCCCGTTATCTTTTTATGCGCATGCATACTTTCAGGCGTAAATGGTGGGTTAGCCACGGTTTCAGACAGCCACTGAAGCTCACCTTGCTCACCGCGGTTCTTCGAAAATAGCCGAGGATCAAAAGAGAAAAAGTGTCTATGAAGTGTATGAGAAGAAAAGGAAGGCCTGAGAAGAGGCAGATATATCCCAGAATCTTTTGCACGGAGAGCTCTCCTCACAAAACATTATGGGATTTGTTGACACAGCGGCCCACTGTCGGCTTTCACCACCCGACAGCGTCGACTAATAATAAAGATGGCGCAGACACCGAGCAGTGGACCAATGGGAAAGTGATCATCTGTCTGAGCAGTAAATTGACGAGTTCACTATATATTCTCTTTTAATGGGATGACTGGTGTGGGGTGCGCTACTGCTTGGTTGGAAAAAAACAACCAGCAGCCCGTTCTGGAACCAGTTTGACAGGCCGGGTCTTGATGGACTGCGGTTCCACGCAACACACAACCAGGGTTGAATTTCCTGAATTTTCCGAAAGCTGAATTATCAGCTTCTTGACAGTTTCCTTCTTGTCACCCAACTGATAACTTTAGTACAAAGAAATCAGAAAGTTTTATTTTTATTCTAATCCCTTGCCAACAGATTTTTTTTTCAGTGGAATCAAGCAGGATATATGTAACTATCCACAAGTTTTGTATCTAACCTGTTTAAATGCTAAAAAAAACTGAAAAAGTGTGTTCAGATTTAAAACCTAACTGTGTATATGTATTTCTTTTACATAAGGTGCATCCTGTGAGTGGACCGGTTCCAGACGAGCATTAAAGGGGTGTCGTGGTGAAGCTCACCCGCAGCTCAGTGAGAGTTTTCTCTATCAGAGCAGTGATGCTGTCCACAGAACTGCTGCAGCTTGCAGCCGCAGCCTGGAGCTCCTTCACCCCTGCCTCTGGTAGCGTGAATGCCAGCGGTTTCTGAGCCTTCTCCAGTTTACGCTTCTTATTGGGAGGAGACTGGTGGACAAAAAAAAAAGCAAAGCAATCACTAAGAACAGTCTGGAGAAGTGAAATCAGTCAACTTTTATTAGCTTATTACAGCATCAGAGGGATAGAAATGGTTTAGTCAGCGTTTGATCTCTTAACTGGTTCAGCTGCTACTTTCCAGTCTAACTCAGATCAAAATGGTCATTTATGATGCAGTGAACTATTTTTTCTCTAGATTCTCTTACATTAGTTTTAAATAATGTGGAGGGGAAACCCTTAACTATTGCTGTTGTATCTAAAATCTTGTATTTAGATTATAGTGTTAAAAAAGCCAGCTGTGTTAACCGTTGAATTCAAAACATAGGGCTACATATACCAGCAGAGGGCAGTGTGTCTTCATTTTAAGATGTGTCACACCCTTATGGAAAATCTGGAAATCTCTGACATCAAACATGTTTTTAAAGATGCAGTTTAATAGAAATCAAAGATAGAAATGTACCAGAGGTTATAACAACTGACTGGATGTCTGCTACAAATGTAAACTAGTGTGGTCTGTCTGCTGCTATGATTTATAAAAACATCTTTAGAAACTAAACTGAAAAGGAGCTGTAAAAACAGGGAGAGATTCATAGCTCAATGAATGCATGTGTACCCAATTTAGGATACTGAACAGTGGTGCCATGGGGGAGTGCAGAGGCAGGGTGAGCTTGCACCTGAACCTGCAGCACATCAAGCATCTTCTCTAGTCTAATCTCCTCTAATGTCAGGCTCTAATCGGGGGTGGGGGTCATTATCCAGGCATAACTGAGCAGAAAGGCTGTGCATCAGTGACATGAACGCTGCACTCATGAGTCACTGCGGTCGGGCCGAACGTGGTCGAGGGCGCGGGTGGGATCTGCGGCAGCAGAGACAGCATGGCCGACTGACCTAGAAACGGCGCGCGGAGGAGCGGACTGCGACCTTCACACTGCTGCACTGATCTGGAGACGAATCCCTGATCTGTTACTTTATGCTGTTTCCTTCAATTGATTTTTAAAAATCTTTATAATCACCCAGACATGATTTTTTTTTTTTTTTTGCTTTATGTAAAATAATAAATTTACTTAAGTGATATTTCCATCTGACTCTCATTTTGATTGATGGAGCCCTTGAATGAAAGGTTTCCTGCCTTGACTGCACCTCCTCTCCCTGTTAGTTGGACCTTTTTTCTCTGTTTTTTTGTTTTACAAGTCTCTCCTAACCTACAAGGTTTCTAAGATCCTGCATCTCATTGCAGAAGGGAAGCAAATCAATAAAATTCATCAAGCTGAACCTGTAGCCTGCATCCTTCACACAGGTTCTCTAACAAATACAAACACAGGTTTTAAAATCAAACCTGTTCCCTTAACACTTGCACAAGCCTGATCCGCATCTCTGTAATGGTTGTGTTGCTCATTCTCATTACTACTTATCACCTCGGTGCTAGAGTGTTGAAGACGGCCCATGACCTACTTTTTTTTTTTTTTAAAGACCCCTTTTAAAACCTAAAACCTTTGTAATAACCGATTCCTTTAAGGTTTAATGATCTCAGCGTTCTAGCCCCAGATGCCAAACACACTCCTAGTAGGGAAACAAAGGCTCCACAGTCCCCCTTCAGGCAAACATTTTAGATCATGTTTGACCCAAAGGTCTGAGTGAGCTCTGCACCTTTCTGATTCGTCTTCTGGCCAAAGGCCTGCATGAACAACACAGAGCCTCGAGGCTTTCTGGGATAAACCCCAGCAGTCTTTCCTGTCTGAATCTTCTTTTCTTCCATGAACACATCCATCTCTTTTGTCTGTGAACAATAGGACTCCTTTGAGGAGAGTTTTTAATCCAGAGCATCTCCAGCCTCTCCAGAAAAAAAACAGAGGAGACACCGGAGTCTTCTGTAAATATCTTATCATCATCCGTTTAAATCTAAACAGCTGATCTCGTTCACGGATTTTCACGCTTTCAACTGAAATGAATGACGGTGCCTCAGATCAGATTAAATCCTGATTCTGTAGTCTGCTGACCAACTTTTCACTCCAATTAAAAACCTAATCTAAAGCCCAAAGCTGTGACCTCTGCTCTGCTCATCTTTCTTGCACCTGAGGTTTATTAGATGCAGTGTTTTAAATCTGCTATATGTTTATGGTAGTTGTGATAAATATGTATAACTCAAATATGAATTCTTTAAAAAATGTAATTATTTTATCAGAAAAAAAAAACTAAATGCTTTATATTTTTCAGCAGACAGTCAAAGACCAGCTTCACAAACAGAGATATGTTTATGGAAAGTTGAGTGGAAGGAAAACGTGTAAAGAATAGAGAAAAGAGAAACTCACATCAGGAATGTATGGATGATTGTAACTAGGAAGATTAGTAATCTAGAGACCAGGCTAAAGAAAGTAAACATCCCCCTACTAAATCAACCTGGGCTTCCTTTAAAGCCTGAGCAGGACCATAGACCACGGAAGGCTGCATTTGTTTTAGTAGTTCATGCAGTTTCTAAATACAAGTTTCAACTTTCTCAGAAATGTTTTGGTTTTTATTATTTCCATTTACCTACTGGCAGATTAATAAAAGAATGAAAGGTAGATTAACTTCTGAATGAAATTTAAATAAATGGGGATGCACCTGCATTTCAGATGTGCTGCTTTTCTAGGCTAATTGGCTCCAGATGTCTCCCTGGATTTAGTGTGGGTAGTGATGGTAACTAGCAGGCTGCAGGGGTTAGTAGGATTGTTAATGGGTCACAGCTGTCACATCTGTCATGAATGAATATTTTAATGGTGACCAGAGAAACATGGCTGCAGAATGAAGAAGCAGAGCGTGTAAATAATCACACACGGAGTGCTTTAAGGGGGTAATGATGACAGCAGGCTCCTGAGAGTAAAACTATGCTGGATGGATGTGAGCCTGGAGCTGAAGTGGGGGCAGAAAAAATTAGGTTGATCATTCTGCTCGGTTGCTTTTCTGCCAGAAAGACCAAAACAGAAAGAGTTCCAGCCAAGAGTCTATTCCACTTAGCTATGTTTAATTCAGGGTTAGGTTGGGTAACAACCAGCTTCATTTTTCATCCCCTTCTTCCAGTCGCGATCATTTCTGACTGGCATCCTGTCCAGACGAGTCTGCGGCATGCTGTGTGCGCACAGCCCTGCCCTGGCAACTGTTGCCTGGCTACTGCTTGCTAGAAATGCCATAAACATCTCCCCGGAGGAAAGGAGTTAAGTGCACATAATGGATCAGGGCTCAGGGTGAGGAAGAGAGGATCCAGATGGAAGAGAGAGAGGATGGAGCAGGACAGAGATGGCGCATCAATAAAAACAGAGGAATCAGTGGTGAATTTTATTATCTCTCCTCGCCGAGCGCCGGATTACACACCTGCAGCAAAGAAGCTAATGAAAACAATCAGCTAGTTTCACAACAAGCTGTCTGAGATTTACTTCATGGATACAAACTACCTGTTTCTGCATTTCAATCCATATAAGTAGATGGTTTCATCCCTCTCTGCTATTATTTTGACCTAAAAAAAATGAAAATTTGTAGTAAAACAATGGAGAAATTAGCTCTCTGCGTTTAACCCATCCCCTTTGAGGAGCAGTGGGCTGCCACTGTGTAGCACCCAGGGAGCAACCGGGGGTTTAGGGTCTTGCTCAGAGACCCTGAGTGGCAGTCAGAGTCGGTTTCAAGCGCAAAACCTCAGGACTGCCTACGCCATTTTTCATGAAAATTTGATTTTAGGCACAAAAATAAATGTGATAGAATGTGATATATTCAAATCTTTCTTTCATAATGTTATATTTTCAGGAAACAGGAAGTTACCGGGACAGCCACATCGTCATAGAAACTCCAGGCCAACGCCCACCGCATGGTCCGTCCCTGGCAGAACTCTGTGTGGGTCACTTTGGGCACCTGAGAAGGAAAACAACAATATTCTTTAGGACAAATTAAATGTATGCCTGACATGGGAAGATAAACAGAAATAACAAAACCAGTTTTTGTTCTTCATAAAATAACAGCAGAACGCTACTGATTTTAGGTAACACAATGGAAGAAATGATTTTTATTAATATGATTCTTATTAATTCATCTGATTTCTCAGTTGGCAAATTAATTGAGTGGGTAATTTGGTTGCAGTAGCTGCATGAGATGCTATCACTGCTGTAAGACCTTAGCACCTGAGAAACAAATAAGATGTTTGTATTTAAGGATGGCATCCAGATGGCAATAGAGGAAAGTGGATTCTCTCCCTTTGCTGATTTGGTCATAGGATTTTAACTGCCTTTCTGGAGGAAGACACAACAACAATCATTCAGCATTTTTATTTGATCTATAATCTCCAATGATTTCATGATTTTGTTTCTCAACCAATCCTAACAGTGATAAGTTGCTTTTATACTAATTCATCTTTTATGATAAAAAGGAGCATAGATCAGGTTTCAGAGTTTTTGCAGGTTTGGAGCTTTTAGTCTCCACTGTCGCTACAAGCAAGGGCGTAGGAATATGTTTACAATTGGGGGGGACACATGTCGGAAATCTGAGATTCGTAAATATTCAACAGAAACATATCTTAAGTACGCTACTTAAAAAAAGGCTATTTAATCTTTTACTTTATTCCTTTATAAATGTGTTTGCAAAAATAATGCATTTAAAATTAACATAATGCATTTGTTCATAAGATGTGAACATATCACCAAACAAAATGACTGGAGTCTTTTATTAAGCAAAGGGAGATGTCTTTCAAGGGCTTCAGCCCTTGGCATATTTAGTGTCCGCATACGCACTAGAAAATCAAAACAATTCAGTAGGCCACACAAGTGCAAAGTTTGATATGTTTTATTTTGTCAAACTTGCAATAATGGTCAAAAATGAATTTATATAGGTTGACTGACAGAGGGAGCTGACAGTGTGTTGAAGAATTATGGACAGGGCGCTTTGAAGCATCTGGTTCAAAAACGCATTATCAACCTTTGGTAGAAATCCATCCATCCTTCCATTTTCTGTACACCCTGTCGTTTTAGTGGGGTCGGGAGGTGCTGGTGCGGGGTCCACCCTAGACAGGTGGCCAGTCTGTCCAGACCTTTGGTAGAAATGGCGCCTTTAATTCCAATTTGCAGTACAGAACAGAGAAAACTACAGAGTTGTCAATGTTGTGTTAATCTGTTTATAGTCTAAAAAGAGGAGCCAGCAGTTTATTTGAGGAAATAAAGATGCAGAAGTTAATTAGTTGGTTAATTAGTGGTTGTGCAGCAGTCCACTGCACGACCAATGCGGCCGCCGCTGCTAAGAATTCAAATTAATTCTCCCTGTGGTTAACTAACGATCAGGAGCGCGGCAGGTATAACATCTGTCCATTTCGGCGAATCAAAACCATGCAAAAAATAAAAAATCCTCGTAAAACGCACGCCCAGACCGGGCTAATTTCAACACAAGTTGTGTTAGGTGACTGTTGCTCACACTGACGTTTCTCTTTTAAAAAAATCTGAGTAAGTCCTACTGCTGTTTCAGCCTTTTAGTTGGTGGTGGCATTGTACTGAAATGAGATATAAAAAAAAATATATAAAAAAAACATTTTGGCTAGCGTGGCAAACGTCTAGAGAAAATTAGCAGTTAAATATTGGATGAGTGATCAGCCCAAGACTACGGAAGAGGATTAGGGCCACTGGAAAAAAAAAGTTAAGTGATTTTTACATTTTATTTCAGTTTAATACGGGAAAAAGTCAGAATTCTGACTTTTATTTTCAGAATTAAGACTTTTTTTCCCTCAGAATTCTGACTTTTTTTCTCAGAATTTTGGATCTTAATGTAGATGGGCACCATGAAGGCAGAGATGTGGAGCACTCAGCTTCACTGACAAAGATGTGAGTTGTTTGAGAGAGCCAGTGACACATTGGTGGAAAATGACAGAATTAGGCAACTTTTTACGTGCCCGAGGGGTCCCCTCATTAATGGAGGAGCAGAAGGTCATTAAAACAAGAGATCTAGTCTCTAAAAGAGACATGGCTATGGCTTGATGCTAACATGTTTGTTGTTAAACATACTTTTGTTATATTACATTTGTGTTGTGTTTTCCAAATAGTGTAGAAAATTAATATAATAAATAACAAATAAATGTATAATGTTTACCTTTTATGAGCAGGACAGGAAGCAGAAGTGTAGCATTACCTCCAACTAGTTAAACTCATAATTATGAAGTTATTCAACAAATTCCTCAAGTAAAAAAGTGCAACTTTTATTTTTTATTTATTTATTTATTTTTACCAGATTTGTTGATTAATTTCAGAATTATGTATTCCTTCCAAATTTCCAAATCTGAAGAATTTTTTAAACCAATATCTACATTATTTAACATTTAGTTTGTTTTAGCAGTACTTCCTGTTATATTTCTTTATACGTATATTTTACATTTTCTTGCACAGCAAGCTCAGCAGATTTGAAATTGTGTGCTTGTGTAAACACAAGTAGTCAATCTTTACTCTAAACATATATTCTGGTTATTTTTTAGTTAGACCTTCTTGTTTTTATATATCTGTATAGTACCCCCACCACCACCACCACCACCACCAAAAAAAACTGTAAATTGATTAGAAACATTAATCATCTGTCAGATTTCTGAGAAAAAAGTCAGATTTCTGAGATTAAAGTCAGAATTCTGAGATTAAAGTCAGAATTCTGAGATTAAAGTCAGAAATCTGAGAAAAAAGTCAGAATTCTGAGAAAAGTCAGAATTCTGACTTTTCCCCCCATGTTAAACTAAAAAAAATTAAAAACCAGTTAACTTTTTTCAGTGGCCCTAATCCTCTTCCTACAAGACTAAGATGCCTAAACCAAAAAGATTCAGTTTCTATATATGAAAGTGAACTGACAACAAGACGTTATAAATAAGCAATATTCATAGCAGCATTCCCGACAGACCATTTTACCTCATTCACAAGTTTCTGACTTTCTGTATCGCTGTTTCCCTCTGAGTGCTCAAACACTCAACAGTTCACAGAGGGGAGGGGGAGTACAGTGACGTAACGCTATGCTGCGCCTTCAAAATAAAAGCACGATAGTTAAAAAATTGTCAAAATCTAATATTTTGCGGTACAATTTTTGGGGGGGACATATCCACCTGGCTTTTATATTGGGGGGGACATGTCCCCCCCGTCCCCCCCGCTTCCTACGCCGCTGGCTACAAGCATGCTTAGTGTGAGGGATTGCATTTGAGTCAATGAGTCGATGCAATCAACTGGTTTTCCTTAGATGGAAAACTTTGAATCAATTTGACTGTATGATCTGGTGAACTGTAAAGTGCCTTGAGATGACATGTGTTGTGATTTGGCGCTATGAGCAAATAATGAGTAAAAACTCTATCCATGTCTCAGGCTAGAGAACAGCTCCAGTTCAAGTTCAAGTACATTCTAGAGACCCCACATGTTTACGTTTGTGATGGTAGGAGAGAAAAGCCTTTCTCTTGACATGCCTCACATAGAGATGCAGTTAAATGGTTGATATGGAGACATCTTTCCCACGCTACGCTAATTTTTAAATTCTCCACCTATATTTTCTGGGGTGGTACGATAAATGTTCCTCAGTGGCTAACAGAAAGAGGTCTCTGTCATACATTAGTTTTATATTAATAGCCATCTGTGCCATCAGTCGGAAGAAAGGGGAAAATTGCTGTGTTAAAAGACAAAATAAAACTAAATGTAAAACACCAAAACAAAACAAGGTTTAGATTCGTTAATGGGTGATAAAAGCTGTGGCATGTTAACTAGAGACGAGTTAGAATTGCTGTAAACCAAAAGCATCAGTCTCCTCCCTGGACATCCGCCAAACCTCCACTCCTTCTGATGAGCTGCTAACAGCAGACTCAGATCTCTGGTTGAGAAGAGGCTGGTGCAGATGGTGGGGTGGGAGGGGGTCTTTCTTTATCTTTCACATGAGCTCCTTTCTGGTTTAGTGGCACATTAGAAAAGTCTGATCAAGCTCCTTGCATCCAAGCACGAGAGGAGTATTAATTGGAAGAATATGCAGGCAACATTTAAACCTGCAGGTATGACCCGTCTGCGTAGTTCCTGTATGAACAAACCGAGATCATAGAGTTTACTAGGGCTTCTCTTTGTTCTGGGTCCCAGCAGGTACTCACCCCTTGCTTCCTCAGCTCCTCCTTCAAAGGTGCCAGGCTGCATTTCTTCCCCAACATACAACTGTACCACCTGCAGAAAGAGAAATCACATCAACCAGCTGTTGGTGTGTATGTGTCCGTCAGCAGACCTCAACTACAAAGCAAGAGATCAAACAAACAGAAGCAGGCTTCAGGGAGCAAAACAAAGGCAAAGAAAAAAAAAACATGAGACAGGAAAACATCCAGGTTCTCTTGGTCCCGCGGCGCAAAGAAAAATGGTTTTGAAGTGTTTTTGAGGTGGAGGCCTAATCGATAATCACCACTGTGCAATAAAGACATGAGTTTGGTGGTGATCAATGAGAAGCAGAGTCCAACAGGGAGGACGGAGGGAAGATAAGCACATTAGGAAGCACCCGTCTGGAAACGTGGCTGGGGGTGCTGCTTCCTCCTAAAGAGTAGTTTAAACATCTTCTGTGATGGATGGAGGCTGCATTGGAGCACATCTGGAGGCGATCTCAGCGTTCACCTGCTGGCTAAGATCCAGGCTCTCTTGACTCAAAATTCCTTTCTGCTATAAATTTGATATTAACCCAGAACATTCGACTGAAAAACCTAAAAAAATAAAATAAAAATAAACAAGCAATAACCTTATGTAGACACTGTTCCATTTCTTTCCTTGAGCATCCAGTCCTCTCATCTTAACCTGTCAGTATTTAGCTACTTAACCTTAAAAGCTTTTCCTGATGAATAAGACCATGATGACCTCTGCTGACCTTATTGAATTCAGGGTGCCAACTAAAAAAATGCATAAGTTGCATTTTCGCCCAATGACGCCTTTTTTTTTTATTTTATGTTATTTATATGGCATGGTGCTCTAATCTTTATCACTATATTTCAAGCAGACTCCTGGAGGTTTATCATTTGTACTGTATTTGTACTGTATAAATTATACAGTATTTTCCTTCACCCTGGCAAAGCAATGTCTTTCCTAGAACAGAAAAATAAGTTAACATTTGACAGTCGTTTCAAGTTCTAATAGTAATATCCACCTGTATAATAATATAAATTTAGTTCATAACACTAGTGATCTATATATTATATTCATTATTTATAATAGTATTCATCTCTATACTCATTCAGGAGAAAACCCATGTCCTGTATTTATGGAACCATTATTTATCCTGCACTTGCTGCTATTGCACTTCTGGTTAGACCTAAACTACATTTCCTTGCCTTGTACCTGTACCTGTGTAATGACAATAAAGTTTAATATAATCTAATCTAATAGCTGTTAGCATGCCTAGCAGCAGTAGCTACTATCAACAGTTTTTGTTTTGAATTATAAGGATTTCCTGTGTTAACCTGAAAAAAAAAATAATTCTTTACACCAAATTTGTGATTTTATTTTGATTTTCCTCATCTGTATGTAAATGTTTCCATGCCAGGGTTTCATTGTTCTCATGACTTTAAAAGTTTGCTTGTCTAGAGTCTATTATCACAGCACTTTGTTTCTGATGTGTAAAGGCGTTTATTTCTACTAGCATGATGATACCTGTAGTGCACTCTTCCTTTCTGAGGAGTTGGTAAACACACTTTCAGCATATCATCTAAATCATGTAAAGAGCCGGAGGGAGAAAGTCAGTGTCTTATTCTTTTTAAATGTAATGCAACCTTTGCAATTTGAAAAATGCTTTTTGTTCAACTGAGATCATTTTGTGAATGAAATGAATAGCCTGGGTTCAGTGCGTTCACTGATCTATAAAAGATTGGACTTTAGAAGTTATCAACTGGCCAATCACAAGTCAGCGTTGATGAAGCTGAAAACTGAACGATTCTGATCAACATCATTTTTCTTGGCTCATTTTATAATTTTCTAAGTTATAACCATCTGTCCCGATGCTTTCAGTTATCCCTTATGTTTGCACAGAGCAATAATGAAATAATGAAATATTGATAGGCTCTAATATTAACAGATGCTCCTGCTTAGATGGAAATCTCCTGTTCAGGAATGAAAGGCTTTCAGTTCATATCAAGAGAGGATCCAGATGGATATATCATATCAATACCACTATGAATCCGGAGCATCACTAGTTTGGAGCTTCTGTCTGACGGTAATTACCCCTGTAGAAGGGGAAGTAGGGTGGCGGAGTGTCTCTCTGGACCTTTTCTGAAAGCTGGCACTGTTTCCATGGACACCTGGTAGCTGTGGTATCCTAGCATGCCGCTGGGAGTGACAGCCGGCTCTGCTTGGTTCGTCTGGAGCCTCAGACCTGTTAAACAAATCTGGATTCGCTCCGACTGCCTCTCCTGTATTCATGATTTGGTAACACGGAGCCGCATAAGAGCAGGCAGGTGTTACCATCAGTGCCCCTCCACTGAAGCATCCTGAGTGAGAACACACACACACACACACACACACACACACACTCCTCATGGCTTGTAGGGCCAGAGCAGGTGTGCTTTGTCTAATCAGCTTTAATAGCTCCACTCTGCCGGGGTCTCACTCCGCTGCTCAGGTGACAGCCCGGCTAACGGGGGAGGCTGAAGTGACGGCCGCCACCCAAACACAGCTGCTCTCCTGAGGGCGCCTGAACCATTACAGTAAGTGAGAGCGACACCGACATCAGAGATCCATCTGCCCGTTTCCCCTCTTAAACTCATCCCATCAAAACTGCAGCACACTTCAACATCCATCCCATAATTAGGATGTTTAGATAAACCTTCCCCCTAGATACAAAGATAAGGACTTCATCTGCTCCTCACCGCAGCCTTTTCTTCAGCTGCAGGCTGTCATGAATGATCCTCTTGACGAACTCCAGCTCGCCGCCCTCTGCCATGATCTCCGTCACCCCGCCTGTGTTCACCGAACTGGGAGGAGGTCTTCGTGAGTTTCTGGAGTTCACCCCCTGCGGAGACCGCGACAAGGCAGACAGAGATTAGGTAGAAATCCTATTAGCATCTTATAAACAAACAGTACTTCATGCCGGAGTCAAACTGAACCAGAACCAGCAGGTAGAACCAGAACTGGAAGATGCAGACGGCCTAAAAACAATGTTGCACCCCCTGACACTGATACCCTTAAAACAAACCCCGTACTTTGCAGATGCATCTCAATAAATCACTAAAATGGTGATTTGATTCAGTGACAGAATTTAAATGGGACAAAAGATAAAAAAAAAGAGTCTCTACAGCAATCAATTTAAAATCTTTTTTTTAAGCATCAAATCACCCGAATAAAACATTAAATTCAGAAATATGTTTGAAGTTATACAGAATTAACATATATGAACCACCGCTGTAGTGCTGCAAGCCTGCGATCAGCTGAGGAGTTCAGCAGGACCTGCTTGATGCGATTTCAGTCTTCCTCTCCTCCATATTGTTTGGTCTAATCTTTCTCATTTTGCTTAGAATAAAACTCCAAAGTTTCTTAGCAGGGTTCAGATGAGGTCACTTGGGGAGCTTTAAAAGGGTATAGTGACGTTAAATGACACTTTATAGCACACTAGGGTTGTGTACATGTTTTTGTTTCAAAGATGACTGTATTACTGGTTATTTTTTTATTTTATCCTCTATTTTGCTGATTTTTTTTTTTTTTTAAAGTCCCTTTGTGTATATTTACAGGTGCTGGTCATAAAATTAGAATATCATGAAAAAGTAGATTGATTTCAGTAATTCCATTTAAAAAGTGAAACTTGTATATTATATTCATACATTACATACAAACTCATATATTTCAGATGTTTATTTTGTTTAATTTTGATGATTACAAATGACAACAAATGAAAATCTCAAATTCATCATATCAGAAAATTAGAATATTACTGAAGACCAATAAAAACAAAGGATTTATAGAAATGTTGGCCAACTGAAAAGTATGAACATGAAAAGTATGAGCATGTACAGCACTCAGTATTTAGTTGGGCCTCCTTTGGCCTGTATTACTGCAGCAATGCGGCGTGGCATGGAGTCGATCAGTCTGTGGCACTGCTCAGGTGTTATGTTGCCCAGGTTGCTCTAATAGTGGCTTTTAGCTCTTCTGAATTGTTGGGTCTGGTGTATTGCATCTTCTTCTTCACAATACCCCATAGATTTTCTATGGGGTTAAGGTCAGGAGAGTTTGCTGGCCAATTAAGAACAGGGATACCATGGTCCTTCAACCAGGTACTGGTAGCTTTGGCACTGTGTGCAGGTGCCAAGTCCTGTTGGAAAATGAAATCTGCATCTCCAAAAAGTTGGTCAGCTGCAGGAAGCATGAAGTGCTCTAAAACTTCCTGGTATGTGGCTGCGTTGACCCTGGACCTCAGAAAACACAATGGACCAACACCAGCAGATGACATGGCACCCCAAACCATCACTGACTGTGGAAACTTTACACTGGACTTCAAGCAACGTGGATGAAGTGCCTCTCTTCTTTTCCTCCAGACTCTGGGACCTTGATTTCCAAAGGAAATGCAAAATTTACTTTCATCAGAGAACATGACTTTGGACCACTCACCAGCAGTCCAGTCCTGTTTCTCTTTAGCCCAGGCAAGACGCTTCTGACGCTGTCTGTGGTTCAAGAGTGGCTTGACACAAGGAATGCGACAGCAGAAACCCATGTCTTTCATACGTCTGTGTGTGGTGGTTCTTGAAGCACTCACTCCAGCTGCAGTCCACTCTTTGTGAATCTCCCCCACATTTTTGAATGGGTTTTGTTTCACAATCCTCTCCAGGGTGTGGTTATCTCTCTTGCTTGTACACTTTTTTCGACCACATCTTTTCCTTCCCTTCGCCTCTCTATTAATGTGCTTGGACACTGAGCTCTGTGAACAGCCAGCCTCTTTAGCGATGACCTTTTGTGTCTTGCCCTCATTGTGCAAGGTGTCGATGGTCGTCTTTTGGACAACTGTCAAGTCAGCAGTCTTCCCCATGATTGTGTAGCCTATAGAACTAGACTGAAAGACCATTTAAAGGCTTTTGCAGGTGGTTTGAGTTAATTAGCTGATTAGAGTGTGGCACCAGGGGCCATCAATTTTGAACCTTTTCACAATATTCTAATTTTCTGATATGATGAATTTGAGATTTTCATTTGTTGTCATTTGTAATCATCAAAATTAAACAAAATAAACATCTGAAATATATGAGTTTGTATGTAATGTATGAATATAATATACAAGTTTCACTTTTTAAATGGAATTACTGAAATCAATCTACTTTTTCATGATATTCTAATTTTATGACCAGCACCTGTATAATAACAGAACTACCTGGAGGTACAATAGTGTGAAATGTGTAAGGGGTCAACAAGTAAACAATTTGTTTAAAACCAGTTAGCACCTCCTAGCCAAGTTATAAAAATAATGAAAAAAAGTCAAAGTTCCAGCTTGAATTAAAAAAAGAAAACCCATTGAGTCTCTGATCGCTTGTTTTTTCCAAACTTTTTCCTTCCAATGAACTTTCCATCAATGTGTTTGATAGAGGACCGTATGAACCGCTAGCTTTCTTTGCAAAGTATTTATGCGAGTCTTCCTGTGTGTGTGTGTGTATATATATATATAAAGATAAAAGCCATTATTCTATACTTCATGTGTACAATTTAAGCTTTCTGGGGAACTGAATGTTGAGAATTCATTAGCTGCTAGGCATTAGTCATTATTACTAAAATAAATGATGGAAAAACTGAGTTCTTGATGAGTTTTTTGATCGATTTTCTAAAACAGATAGAAACTTACTGAGACACACAGCTGCAAAAAAAAAAGAAAGATTTACCTTTGCTTCTAGTTGGTTGGCGAAAAACGGTGGATTGCACATGCAAAAATCATAGATCATTTCTGTCTCTTCTTTCAAGGCGTCCATCAGTAAAGTCTTCTGCGGGACTTTTACAACTAGGAAAGTCAAGGAAAGAAAAATAGAAAAGATAAGATGATGAGATCTTAACTCCTCCAAACGAGGGCAGCAGCTTATGGCGCTGTCACATCTTGACGATTTAGCCAGCGTATGGCAACGTATGAAAAATTTTGCAAAAATGCTAGCGTTTGTTGGATAAGTTATGCGTAAGTTTTGTATTAGTTATGAGGAAGCTGGCACACAAAATTTCTTGAAGTATGCCAGTGTATGCTCATACATGGGCCATAAGTTACAGGTAAGTTGACACACGTTAATTGTACATCACTCATTAGTAATTGTGTCCAACTCGTCCAACCTGTCGTTGAAAATAATTTGTGGACTCATTATAAATACGCTGTATATATGCCTAAGATTGTAAAAATACATAGGAAGTTCCACGTATGCTAGCGTTGTAGATCTTTCTGTGACGTCAGGCATACGCTGGCTAAGTCGTCAAGCTGTGACAGCGCCATAAACACAGTTGTGTGGCAACCTTTTATTTTCCTAACACTCGCATTACATTAAAACCACCTCCTTCCATAAAGCGTCAAAGCCCACAACATCATACCATCTCCACCGTGCTTGAGCCTACATTCATTCACCTTTAACCAGGTCTGACAGGTTGTTCTGCTCCACGTTCTTCTTGGCGTAGGCGAAGCAGATGTCGTCCACTTCTGTAGCGAGGAAGTACCAGCCGTTCATTGTGGCTCCCAGTAAGGGGTATATACAGGACGCTCCGGTGCCTGGGGTAAGAGGAAGCACATCTGTAGAGTCTGACACTGTGAAGATTGATTGTGGCCGTCAGGAATGATATGGAAATGTTCGCTGATATAGTCTGGCAAACAGACGGTAAATGTGGTGCCCTGCTAAACAGCCCAAAGATCTGAAGCCAATAAACGTCAGTTCCAGTAGTGATAATCCAATCGTTTAAACGTAACAAGGTGCGTTATTCAGGTCAGAGAGAGCCGGCCTCCTTTACTAAAGGGACGATTGGTGGTGATCCATCAAAGAGAAGGCGACTTAATTCTGCTTCCTGACAGCAACAGGGTCACCAATCAGTGACCCCGACTCTCACAGAGAACACACATACACCTCTGCAGGGAGAGCACAGTGTTCTCCTCTTTTACACTGACAGAGATGCATGTGGACTGGGAGAACTGGGAAAGACTAAGGTCATTAGCTGCATGCTATAAATTGCCTTTTTCTAATAGATGTAGAATCCCTTAAAACAGAAATAAAAACAATTACAAATATGAGGCCAAATTTTGCTTTAAAATTGGAAAAAACAAAACAAATAAGTAGCCATGATAAAATACCAAGAACATAAATGTATAAAGGTCTATGGATATTTTAAAAGGACACAGATACATTTTTAAAAAATTGTTCATTTACACTTCTCATTACTTTAACAATAAAGTCAAATATCAAAGAGCTCCATTTGGATTTTATGTAATAGACCAAAAAACTAAGAAATATGGGTTTATCAAATTAACTTATCTAATTTTTTTAGAAAAGTAAGTGTAACCAGTTTTTTAAGAAGCCATCTAATTAGAAAACAAAGTTTCCTGGTTTGAGGTTTCATCTCATTATAGATCAAGCTGTTCCATGAGGGAAACAGAGGTTTGTTAGAGAATATTAATCAGCAAAGAGCAACGACCTGTCAAACACCATAAAACAGAAGAACAAGTCTGTAAGCCACGATTAGACTATCGTTTGTCGTATCCACTTCCCAAAAGCCGACTCTGTCAAGTAAATTCAAGTCTCCGCAAACAATGAAATATCACAATTATAAACAAACATAACTTCCTGAATGTTACGGAAGCCGCCATTTTGATTTGCTTGTTTCCATCCTTCAATCCTAGAGAGCAGTAGTACCGTAGATCGTCACTAGGAGGCGAGGAACCGTGCTAGCGTGGTGTCTAAACTGTCGTAAGGAACCAAGCTCAGCACGGTTAACTAGCTCAGTCCCAAATCGTCACGGATCGGTTTCAGAGGGTAGTGTAAATGGGGCTGCTCCGCAAAGAAATTACAAACATTTTAGTTTTGAAACATTTGAAAGTTTTGGATGTAATTTGACAAAGATTTAATAAATTCAAGTTGGTTAAATTATTTTGCCAGTAATAAAAAACAAATCTTTGGTGTGCTGAAATTTGGCTAAACTAGATAAAAAATGCCAGCCATATAGAGCAGGTCAATCCGTGTTTCTTATTCTAATGGAAAAGGAATATTTTATGAAATGTTCTCTCAATGCTTCCTCTGATGCAGAAATCTAATGTATGCATGCACTCCATGGTGACACATGCAGGTTTATACCGATGTCGATGCCCCGGCGTTGCTGCTTCTGGCCGTCGATCAGGTCCTCCACCCAGTGGATGTAGTTGAGGCGCAGAGGGACCGTAGGGATGAGGCGCTCCAGAGGAATCTCGATGGTCAACCCGAAGTCTTCCTTCAGCAGCGTGCAGGTCAGCGCTCGCACCGCCTCCGGTTCTTTAAAGTTCACACTAAGAGAAAACCAGACTTAAGGTGAAATATTCCATCAAACACAACAAAGGGACATCATTTAAAATGTGGTCCTAGAACAAAACAAAAACAAAACAGATTATTTTAAAAGGAGGTGAACATCAGCTTTTAGGCATAGAGCCTTAAATGCGTGTTAAACATCACTACTACTTGTATTACTGTGGTAATGTCACCAACCAGGAGTCCAGGGAACTGTATCTAAATACAAAGCAGGCAGAGAAGACCAACCAGAAACCTCAACATAGAACTGGAGAAAACCTTTAAATTAAACTTAAACTTAAAAAATTAAGTGCAATTTTTTATAGACAAAATACAAAAACCAAAACATTCACCAAGATCTACTACGGTATGTATATCACTGTGTTAGGTAGAAACAAGTCATTCAAATAAAAATATTTACTTTCCAAATTATTAGTGAAAAAGGGAGAAAAAAGAAAACATAAACCAAAAAGCCATTTGGCTTCTTTCACACGTTTTTTTTTCTCAAAGCAATCAAAAATACTTTAGTCCAAAAAGATCATGAGAGAGTTCTTAATCTGCATTATGAATAATGACAAATACAAAAGAACTGTACTTTTATTTAGAAAACCACTGTTTTCTTTGCTCTTGGTTTGTTTACATGTAGAAGAACATAATAATCTAATCAATCCTCAAAATTTTTAAATCAGTGGCTTGATGCCAAATTTCGATTGGAAAAAAATTCACAACGACTACAGGTGGGATCTTCTTTTTTAAACCCGAGTATGGCCAGGAGGTAAAATGAAAAAAAAAAAATCTTCAATCTATTATGCAGTAAAACTGATCAACATAAACCATGGTGAACCAACATCATGGTTTCCTTCAGCCTGCTATATATAAAGCTGGTATTACAGTTTGTTACTGCTAATAAAATGAATATTTATTCAAATCTAAATGTGGTTTAATTTTCTTTCCTTCCAGTCTCAGTTGCCCAGTTGGATTAACCACTCCACCAAACTACTCTTAAATCGGCACTTCATTAACCTGCAGCTCTCTCCTCCGAGCCTCATCACTTCACATTTCACACAAACCTACGTGAGAGACGAGATGCGGATAAGCAGCCCATCAAATTAAAATCCCCCGCTGATTGTAAAGATTCTCTCTTTTTTTTTATTAACACTCTACTCAGCACAAAACTCCCCCCCCTCCTCTCTCACACTCATCTGGCTTCCCATCTTCCCTCCTCCACGTGTTTAACCATTTCAGCTGTCACACCAGAATGCGTGGGCGGGGAAGGTGTAATTAAAGCCTCACCAAGTCCTTTTGCACCTTGGCAGATGCAATTAATTACATCCTGGTGATTGGGGAGCATCACAAACCGCACATGGTGGATAAGAAAGCAACCCAGCAAGATGAGGATGATGTGACACAATTCAGCTCAGGTTTTAGTTTGATTTGCTTATATTTCTATTAAAAGATCAATTTTATTCTCAAGAGAACAAAAAAGTCTTAAGTTTTCTTGTCTTTATTATAGGAAAGCATTTAAACAGAATATTTTAAAAGTTACCCAGACAGAAAACACACTTTATTAGGATTGGCAGCAGTTCAATTGTTTATACCAGGTAATTATATTTATTAATTATGCAATAATTACATCCTTTATTAACCTGGCATTAACATTTTATTATTGATAAACTACAATTCATTATGATAAAAGAGTGATTATCCAAAGTTACAAGTAGATGAAAGTTTATTTTTTTCTTTATAAGCTGTTAAAAATGTTTTACTTTGGATGCAGTGAAAAATGAGCTGGTCACTGAAATCAGAGGACTTTGAGCTCGATTAGATTTGATTGATGAACAATTAGTAAGAAATCTTTCAGGACTTGTTATAAAAAGTTAATTGAAAGAAGAATCAACCATTTTCTTTTTACTTCACAGTAAAATCCTACTTTTTCTTTAAAAATCTAAATGAATTCCAGTAGAATACAGAAGTAGAATTCTTCTGCTGAATGAAGAAAACATGAAGTGGGCTCGGCGTTAACAGATCCAGTGGAAAAAGGGCCATCAGTTGGGTAACAAAGTTTCCACGTTGCTAATCTGAAATCCACCCCCCTTGTTTCCCCTCAGCTAATGAACAATCCCTATGAAACAGTCTTTTTAGCGGCTGCTAACACCATGATCCTCCACAGGATGGTGAAAAGAGGAACCAGTTAAAGGAAACTGGGCTGAAGTAATAAATCAGACCAAAAACAAGAGCCATCCTTCCTCAACATCATCAGCATCATCATCTCCACCTCTCAAATTTCCACCTAAGTCTTTATTCCTCCTCAGAGGCGTTATTAGACAGAGATCGATGTTCAGATGAGGGAGGCTGCTCGGGCCGCTGCTCTATTTTTAGACCTTTTTTCTTGTCTGTGTGAAGTCTGTGATGCAGGGCTGACCGTCTCCATGGCAACCACACCTACAGGAAGAAAATTAGATGAGCGGAGCACGCAAATCCGGCCACGCTGGAGCAATGGCTGATGGACGAGGGAAGAGCGAGAGCGCGCCCGCAGCTTCGTGCTGCCGTAGATTTGGCTGCTGCGTGCCTACGCCCTGGATGGAAGCCTACGAGCCTCAAAGAAGAACGAAACACGAAAGGAAAAAGTTGTTCTGAAGAGGATGCGGTAAAGCTGTGGAGATGGAAGAGAAACGGGGGGCCCTGTTCTCACAATGGCTTCCCATCACTATTAAAACTCACACGTTAACAATCAATAGACCCTGACCTTCATCTGAACCAAATAAAGGAGCAGGAAAACACATTGTGCTGATAAACAGCACCTTTTCTCCTGTCAGCTGTTTTAATTCACAAAGGAACTGACAAGAAGGGAAATAACCAATAACAATCAGCGGCATGTGAAGATGATCTTTTTAAAGGTTCAGGTCATTATATATTTAATGAACTACAGACAGTTAGGATCCAAACTAGGGCTGAGCAATTAACTGCATTTGCAATATAACCGCAATTTAAGAAAACACATTTTTCAAACTGATTTTTTATCGTACTATATTTAACAAGAGTGAGGCACTAAATATCTCCCTCCAGCCTTTAGGTGGTGATTAGATGCTTGAAGTGGGGATGTTGCCACACAGAAAGGTAGAGAGTTGCAGCTGCAGATCCATGCATGGAATTAAACACTTTTACACACAATGGTTGCAGTTAAGTCTTGTAACAAAACAAGCTTTCAAAAACCGAAAGCCTGACGTGAATCATCTACAAGCTTGGTTTTAGAGCAGATAAAAAAAATAAAATTGCAATTTTGGTTAAAAATAATTGCAATTCAGATTTTTTGCAAAATCGTTTCAGCCATAGTTCTAGATGAAAAGCATGAGCTTAAATATGCACCTAAGAGAGGATTAGTCTGGGAAAGTTCCCAACTCTGCAATCAAAGTCACCAGTCTGAGTCTTCTCTGATATATCTTTTTCCCAGCTTTTTTTTTTCTTTATATTGTCATTACACTGTCACAAGTGCAGATCAACAGAATGAATTCTCTGCATTTAACCCATCCCCTTGGGGAGCAGTGGGCTGCCATTATGAGGTGCCAGGGAGCAGTATGGGGTTAAAGGTCTTTTGCTCACGGACCCAGAGTGGGAGTCTGTGGGAGTGGGGCTCAAACTCAGAACCTCTGGATTCCAAGCTCTATGCCTTAACCACTAGGTTGCCACTCTCCCGGCCCAATACACCCAAACTGGCCACTTTATCAGTGTTGCACTGACCTGCTAATTGGTGGCAGCCCAGGGCGGGGCTACTAGTGTCCACACCTGAAGTGCTTTGCCTCACATTGCTGAAGGCATAAATGACACATAGGAAAGCAGCTGCTGATTTCTTGCAAGTTGTGTAAGAGACTCGGGCTGAAAACTAGCTGCAGAGAATTGAGGATCCATGTCAAAAAACTGAAGAGGCGGCCGGTAAGAAACCTGAATTTTATAGGATCTTACTGCGACTGCTCTTAAATTTATTAGGTGTAATTTGAGTAGAGTCCTCCTCATTTGATTTATGCTCCTTGATTTGAAAATGGCTGCAGTGGTGTAAATAATTTGGGAAATGTGTTTCCATGTTGTGCTTTATCTGGTTGTGCTGTATGGTATTTAAGGTTAAATCTCTGGGCAAGGTGCAATATTGTGGTACATTTTGTAAAACTGTCATGTGTATATGAAGATTAGATTGATTCAAGTATTTTGATTTCAATTATAGTTTTAGTGTCCTGAATATCATATGTTCACTAAAAATCCTAACTGTCTTTCTGACCTAAGGTTTTTACCTGACTGTTGTTAAAACTGACCACAAAATAGGGAAATAAAAAGAATGGAAAAAGTCTCAACTGCTTTGTCTGAGTAAATCCAGCTATACTCTTAAAGTCATGGGTCTAGCCCATTCAAGTATGGGATGCAGTTACTGAAACGCTTGACAATTAGGTACGCCTCTTCAAATGATACTTGAAACATCCTGTAAAAACAGGAAGCCATGTAGACATGATGAAGATATATTTCTGAAGTTTAGAACAAGCGTCAAAGGGGAAAATAGGGAGAATTTTGTGATTGTGGGGAAAAAGATAAGCCATTTTACTGGGAAGATTGTGCTAAATCATCTCTCAGGTTTGCAGAGACTAGCCTGAGAAGGAGCAGGTATCCAGTTGATGAAAATCCCTTGTTGATGAGAGTTTGCAGGCGATTAGACCGAGCGGTTCGAGGTGATGGCAAAAGGAACTACAGCTTCAATAAACAATGTCTTTATTTTTTTCTTTACTCTTCACCTGACAGATACCTTCAAACAGTGTAGTTATTTTTAGGGCTGAAACCCAGCCTATAAATCATCTTCTACTACATCTAGTCTCTGTAGTTGACCTGTCTCCAGTCTATAAAACATGTCATTTACTGAGAGAACAACCAGCTCAGGACAGTGATTGAAATAAAACTGTACAAAAAAATATATACATTGTGCAATCAAGACAAAAAAAGCTTATCTTCTGTAAATATGCCCTAAACAGAACTTAATTTAGCTTCATAACATCTGTATTAAAAACATGTCCTATTAAGCACCATTGTTTTTCAATTAATCTAAGATATGATCAACAGATTAATTAAGAAAGTCGTCGCTCCATAAACTATAGTTTAGATCAGGGGTGTCCAAATCTTTTATCATGTAGGCTGAATTTGTTAAGTCAAAAATATGCAAGGGCCAATACATACATAAAAAAACTCCAATTATTATACATACATAAAAAAAAACTCTGAAATTATTGCTTTTTTTCCCCTGCTTCATAAAAGTGAGCCTGCAATTCATTATGCAATGTAGTCAGATTTTCATTAAAAAAAAAAGCAATGAGAAAATAATTGCAGATCTAAAACTTAAAAAGAGTTTTGCGCATTTGCCATATTAAAAGATGCTTATCCACCTTTCAAATTATTTGGCGATCAGTTTTTGTAAAACCTTTGCTATCTTTGCAGCCACATTTGATTAATAAGTTAAGAACAGATCTCGGTACACACATGTCTGTAGTCCAATTAATATCACAGGATGGATACGGTCGTGGTTATTTAAAACACAAATACTTTTATTCCAAATATTTTCAATTGTACAAAGATACCAACGTCTATGTTTAGTTTTGCTTTAATTTAAAAAAAATAAATCTCCATCTGCATAAAGCATCTGAATTGAAGCTGGGAGCCACAGAGAATCATTCTAGGTGTGGAAAATGACTCCTGGGCCACATTTCTGACACCCCTGCTTTAGATAAATGATGGAAACGTCAGGAAAAGCCTACAGGGAAAGCCCACCTATCATTAATAGAAGGTTATAATAGAAGAGGATACTGACAAAGAGATTGTGACGTTTACTATTTTACCTGAACTGTAATCGCTGACACAAAGAGAAGCAGCTAACATTTACTATTTTAAATCATTTTTTTTAAACTAAACTATCCAACTGTTAAACATTCTATAATGTGGCCATGTTTATTTCTATAGTTCATTGCAAATGCAGGATATGCAGGATATCCTATACATAAGTATGCAAATACTACAAAAAATAAAACACTGCCACTTAATGTGTGTGTGTGCTGATGGACAAAAAACAGCAATCTCTCCAGAATGCTCTTTTCTGGCTTTACCAGCACAAAACCATGAATTATTGGCTGCCTCCCCTCCAAGTTTACAGAAATGGCTTAAAATATTCTAACTGCATGTGATAAAATAACCAGACATGCAGGACAGAACGCTTAGACAGCCACAGCATCCTCACAGCAGATTTAAATTAAATATGTGGAAAAAAATAAATTATTTTGACCTTAGAGCGGTTTTCCTCACCTTCCTCAAAACAATATTAGCAGCTTAGCTTTGCACCACCGCAGGGTAACGCTAATCAATTAAACCCACCAGGACTCCTAATTATTTCTTCATTTTCTCTTCTAAGAAGCTGATTATTAATATCTCTCTAAATGGAACTGGAGTGAAAATTGAACTTTTTTTTTTTTTTTTCCAAATGAAGTGTCACCCAGGCTAATACATCTTTAATAACCCCTCTGTCTTCTTAATCCTACTCCTTCTGTTTGACCCCAAACACTGAAAACAAACATGATGACTTTTGATGGGGGTGGGGTCATCTATTCCTTACTTCCATTCAAACCGAATCCAGCACATTTTTTGCTGCTGCCTCTGGTCTGAGCTGTTATCAGTCCTCTCCACCAGCGGGCCCTAAATGAGGGGAGACGCATCTCCTCTGAGGAAAGAGTGAGTGTCTCCCTGAGATTACTCTCATCCCCCAAACTCATAGCTTAAATACTTAAAAGAAAACTTGTAGATGAGTTAGTTGGAAGATCGAAAATGAAGCTAATCCTCTTCCACTGATGGAGCATGGGGTGGAAGAGGAAGAGGAGGAGCCATATTTCTAAAGGAGGCTAATCAGAACAAGAGGGTTGCATGAATCCTGGGCAGCAGCTGGCAAACTAACCTAAAACAGAGGAATGTATAAAAAAAAATGCAGAGTTTTAATGTTTTTTTTTTTTTTTTCCAAATATAGATAAAGCTGTTTATTCTTGCTTGTTAGCATTTGTTGGAATATAAAGATGGCAGGATTGAATACACTCATTACAAGTGATGCAGCTCAGAACAAGGCTTTTAGTTAGCAATCCTTACGGCCTTTATTAAAAAAATGACAAATTCTACGCACTATTTTTCCCCCTGGAAACTTCGCTTAAATTGTTACGTGCCACATCAACCATCAGAGAAGCTGATCTGCGAGCTGGCAGGGAGGCAGACGCAGCACTGCTGATGCAGATTGCCATGATCTCCACTGAAACGGTTTATTAACGTCTAAATTTACTTAAAATGTTGAAACCTTTCAGTAAAATACATTCGCTTAGATTATTCTGGGGCTTGCAGTTTGTACCATATTCCTGAAAAATGCTAAAATTTGCTTCCAGCCACCAAAAAAAAAAAAACCCCAAGAGGCGACCGGGCCTGAGGCAGCTGCTGCTGGGGCTTCCCAGTGACAGCGCACTGGTGATACGTGGCGGTCTGAGCGGCTCCAACAGCAAAATAATATTTTAAGGCAGGATCTTAATCTGGATGAACTGACAGCACAGCTGATGTTTTGAGGTGGATTTTCTCACTCAAAAATACATTAAAACTACTTTTTATCCACTTATCACAGCAAATATAGCAAAGCCGCTCTGCAATTGAACACAGCAGCAGCAGAAGTATTAAGATGCATCTGTACACACTTTACTTGACGCACTTCATGAGCAAAGATGCTCTTAAGGCACATCAGACCTTAATGTGTACAAGCATCAAAACTGAAGCAGCAGACACTTTTTTGATGCTGAAAGCGTGTGCAGCGTGAACATAGCATTACACTTTCTAATTGTTTGAATTAACCTATGAAACATAATACTGTAGCTAAAAACACACATACTTCCCATTACAAAGACAAAATAAGTGTTGTAAGAAAGACAAAAAGTTAGCTGCATTCTACCTCAAAATGCAGGAAACTGTGTTTTAGAGAGTCTTAGTTTCTAAATTATCCAGGGGAGGATAGCCCAGACCCCCCTACGCCGCACAAAGCCTGAAGATGTGATACACAAAGGTGCACACCCTATGAAATATTCCTAGCTAAAAGCCTGTGCAGGACTAATCCCATGTGTCTCTGCTCTGAAAGCTCTCACTCCAAAATGAAAGGAAAGTTCTTCAGCTGTCTAATCTCAGTTTTCAAACAAGGCAGACATGGCAGCACCATCAAATGTTAATTAGCACCTGTCAGAGAAGCACATGGAGTAATGTTTTTCAGCATGCCCACGGCTGGCAACACACATGCAGGACAAACAGGTTCACAACAGGGGCTGAGCACAGGTGAGCACCCACAGCCATAACAAAATAAACATGGCAACACAGGAGGACATATGGGTACCTGCTGCCATCACAACCCTTTGGTCAGAGGTCAGGATTATTATCTTTTAAAAACGGGAACAGCAAAAGCATCAAAAGCATAAATTGCTGTTCTTTATTATGGCGCCTGCTGCATTTTCATTTGTTTCAATGATTGCCTAAAATAAATCTTTGGTAAACAGACACCAGGTGTCACTTCACCAAACAACCTAGAAATGCTGCGAAATGGGCCTCCTTTAACCAAAGAAATTCAAATGGACTGGTCCCAGATTAATGATGTGTAATAATGAGAGCTCAGCTTTGTTTTTAAGGAGATCCTTTAGATCCCAAATATTGCATCTGGATTCCAGTTGAGGCATTTTTTATTAAATTCATCAGAATCAAAGGTAATACTGCCTGTTTTTACCATTGGAAAGACGTGTTTTGCATGGAAACGTGATGAATCAAACTTGATCAGTTTTTCTAAAACACAAGTGCTTCCCATAGTAATCTAGAGGCCAGGTTAAAGTCACACCTTCGGGCACCGGAGCATCAACAAGAGCTGTATCTTTTTTTTTTTTTTTACTTAAATCTTGTTTCTTGAAAAGTTGGAAACATAAGAATACTCATTCGGTCTTGGCAGATGGCCGCTCACACTGAGTCTGGTTCTGCTGGAGGTTGCTTCCTGTTAAAAGGGAGTTTTTTCTCTCCACTGTTGCTACAAGCTTTCAATATTAATCAGAATTATATCTGGCTATTTTAAATATTATTTTGTCAATAATTTACACATCCTTTAAAAAAACAGAAAAAAAAAATATTCTAAAGCGTATGAGGAGTAAAAAACAACCAAATTGATAAACTTTATCTATACACAAGATCCAATATCTATTATCATTGATTCTAGCTCCTCTGTTTTCTCCCCAGGTGTCTTAATAAGTCAAAAGATAAACACCCATATCAGTTTTGAACTAATCCATATCTTGGGCGTCACAAACGATCCTCAAACTGGAACCTGGCACTACAAATGTTAAATAAACAAATGTTTAGCTCCACGCTCAGACACGTCCATCATTGTTACAAGAACTTTAAATTAATTTTTGTTATGATGAGTAATGTGTCCTTTCCTAGACACAGCCACCTGCAGAGTTAATTTATATTTACCTTTTCTACCATTAAATCTGTTTATGGATGTTTGCTTCTATGTTTGTTCTGCGCGTCTTGCTCTTTCTCCTTAAACCTCAGTCGGCCGCGGCTGATGGCCGAGTCTGGTTCTGCAGGTTTCTACCTGTTAAAAGGGAGTTTTTCCTCTCCACTGTCTCTGCATGCATGCTCAGTGTGAGGGATTGCTGTAGAGTCAATGAGCTGATGCAATCAGCTGGTTTTCTTTAGATAAAAACTTTTAACCAAAGCTGCTTGAGATAACATGTGTTGTGAATTTGCACATAATAAATAACTGAACTGAATAGAAAAACGCATCTAAATCTGCAAACATTTGGACCTTCACTACATTTCTATTCAAACCTCTTACATGGGTCTTCCTGTGAGGCTGGTGTGGACATGCTGCTGGAAGTCCGGGTATTTAGAGGCCAAGTAGGCGAAGTCTGGAGGTTTGTCCTTATACCGGTTCCGAGGATGCATTGATTTATTTAGAGCCATGAGGACAAATCCTGGTTTTCAACAACAACACATAAAACAACGTTAGTAAAGCAGACCGTACACTATTTCATCAATGCACAATGTCGTGTTCTGTGAAAGCTGTCCATAGCGTTGACTAATATAAAGTATAATCCATATAAAACGTGTTCACTACTACTGAATAAAACTGACAGAAAATACCAGATAAAAATAAGAGAGCAGATATAGGTGCAGTAGAAAAAGGATAGAACAAGAGGCTTGTTTATCACCTACTGTTGGCTCCGTACCTCTGCCTATCTGGATGTGCAGTAGCTTAATCTTCTTATTAATAGTATTTTAACTCTGGCGTTAATATAAAAGAGGATGCAACAACTACACTTCTCACGTTGTGCAAACGATTTCCCTTTTCCGGGTCGCCTTCTACGTCATCATCTCACGCTACTGCGCGTTGACGTCATAAAAAAAAAACCCTCTACTTTTTACATTTTTTTATTTCTTTTAGGCGTTTTAATTATGAGAATTTTATTTTAAACATGGTATAAAACTATCCCTAAAGATCTGGATGTTTGATTCAGTGCATTTATTTTAAGCAATGTTTTGAAGCAAATATACAGAAGAGGATTAGGGCCACTGAAAAAATACTGAATTTTAAATTATTTCAGTTTAATGATGGGAAAAAAAATTCAGAATTCTGAGATTAAAGTCAGAATTCTGAGAAAAAAGTCAGACTTTTGAGATTAAACTCAAAAGTCTGACTTTTTTCTCAGAATTCTGACTTTTTTCTCAAAATTCTGACTTTGATCTCAGAATTCTGGCTTTAATCTCCACATTCTGAGATTAAAGTAAGAATTATGCAATTAAAGTCAGACTTCTGAATTTTTTCTCAGAAGTCTGACTTTAATCTCAGGATTTTAAATTTTTTCTTCTATCATACTGAAATAAAATAAAAAAAATCAGTTAACTTTTTTTGTTTTTTCAGTGGCCCTAATCCTCTTCCGTACAAATACATGGCATTCTTTCCAAATAATTCCCATAATTTTGTGTTGGTCCTAAACAGATTAAGGTTTCCGCTGCAATATGTGGAAGATTCAAAAGAGTGTAAATACATTTGCAAGGCTCTGTATTAATGTTAGATTTATATATTCTTTGAATTCTTTTCGTTAAATTTGCATTATCTTCATTTGACCAACCCTAAATTAAAAAAGGTAATAATGTATAAAATCTCATAACAAATTCCTGTAAAAGACAAACACTCCTTTATAACTTTTTATGAAATTGTAATATTTATTTTGATATTTCGGATACTCCAAATCATAAGTTAACAGTTAATCTCCCCATTTTCACACATCTTAACATTTTATTAGCATCCATTGTGCAGGTAAGAATAAAATGAGCTCTTAAATGTATCTTTTCTCCTGTAATAAAGATCAGAGGTAACTTAGAGCAGCATTCTTCAACTGTTTGGCGTCTATAATCATTCTTATGGGTTTTCAACATCTCACACAGTTTAAATTCAGGACTATCTAGGCCATTATTGAACTTAATTTAACCTATTTTTCTTTTCATATCATTAGCATTCAGCTAATAGCTTTGAGTCATTTTAATTCATGATCTACACTTCATTCTTGCTTTTAATTGATGATCAAATTTACTCAATAAAATCGTTAGTTTGCCTCCAGGGAAGGCAGGTCTTAAAGCTGCAAAGCTGGTGAATCTACCATCGCCTTTTCCTCCTTTGAAACCTTTTCTTACAATTAAAGCTACAGATTTTTAATTATTCAAAGGGTCATTGAATAAAAGATGACATTCGTTTTCTCTGAGAATTTCTTAACATTTATTCAAGGGATACAAGAATAGGAACCAACTTCACTATTTAGAAAGTCCAGTTAAATTCCTTTCCTAAAAACAATGATTAAAGAGCTCCGCATGATCAGATCTTCATGTCTTTTCATTAACTCATTTTTACCTTGAACACACCTCAATTATCAAAATCCCCCCCCCCAAAAAAAGGGGAAAAAAGCAGGACACGAGGGGAAGTTTTCCATTTTTATTATTATTTTGCAAACAATGACATCCAGGTATATTGTTAACAGTTTGCTGTGTGAAGAGTGAGACCATAGTGGCAAAAAAAACAACAAAAAAACAAAACAAGAGCTCTCCTCTAAGGAGCTTATTGTGCAGTCTGAAGCCCTCAGATGTGTTTCGGCAGGCAGCTCACAGAGGACAAAGGGACTGGATGCTGGTGGAAAAGAGGCACTGGATTTTAAATCCTCATCATGGGTCCCTTCTCACCAGCAAATGCAGCACAGGGATTGCTTGGGACCTGCAGATGGCAAAACTAGATTTTCTTTTACGTTTACGCTAAAAAAAGCAGCAGCTGTTTTCGAAGTTCTTTTCCTACTGATAGAAGCAAACATCATCCAGACCTCTAAAGACCAACTTCCTTGAATAAATAACAAGGAAGGGAGACACATTTTCCAGCTTTTAAGGGAAGGTCTGGGATATTATAGCATGATCTTGAGGAGAGGTCCTATTTTCAAAGGGCCAGGACAAGAATGAGGCTAATTTCTTCTCAGGTTGACCAGATAGTACAGAACAAAATTGTAAATTTTTGGCTTTAGGTCGACAACTTAACACAATGGCCAATTGGAACAACAAACCTCAACTGTTTTATTCTTCACAAACATTTAAAAGAAAACGGCTTAGAGGGGGGAAAAATAATTAGGATTTTCCAAGAGAGCATCAAGGGTAAAATTCCCTGAAAGAGACATTTGCCTCCTAAGTCTGCCACAATCCAGCTGCATACAAGGGAGAAAAAAAAAAAAAAAAAAAAGCATCACACACAACAAACCAGCCTCTCTACAAACCAAACAGAGCTGTCTGAACCCAACAAGCTGGTCATTTTAAAAAAGTAGCGGTTTGGAAAATGTGCCAAAAAAAGGGGAAAATCAGCACACTTCATCAAGTTACTATATGGATCAATCATTTGGTCTGTGAAGCATCTGTTCAGACAGCTCTGCCTCCGGATGCAGGTTTCGCATGCTGCGGCGCTACATGGACAGGTCACATAAGGCTCACATCGGCCACTTCAGCGAGGACTCGGCAAGAGATCAACACATCCAGCACACAGACAGAGAGGGAAACTCGCCAAAAGTAGCAGGAAGTTCAGAGCGGTGGCTCGATTATTAGGAGAGGAACAGAGATGGAATGGACAGGTTTACCAAAAACTAGAGTTATGCTTGTTTCAAAGTCTTTAATCTTCCATTGTCATGAAACATCTTAAGAGGACAGAGTTGGGGAAGAAGATTTCAGAGTTGTTTTATTATCCAACAGTAAGAGGAATGGTTGCTCTTTCAGTCTGTGAAGGTTTAAGGAAAGATAGGTCTTAGGGGATTTATCTGCAGAGCTCTTTCACGTCTCATTGCTCTGCCAAAGAAAACAAAGCAAACATGTCTGCCAAACTCATATGAACAAGCTAAATTTCCCCATGAATTTGAGATTTCATATCAAACTCTCATATGAGAAACAGGGGGCTAAGCTATTCATCAGTCTTTATGTCTTTGTTTATCTCTAGATTTGTGTCGGTTTTGCGTTTATATCCTCTAGTGGCATCATGGGGCAGCTGAGCACCTTTACATACTTTTCCTGCATCGCACCGACCGACTCCTCTGAGTGGTTTAAAAAACAAAAAAAGGAAGAAAATTATTAAACTCAGCTCAAAACAGGCAACAAAGGCGAGCAAACCCTCATCCTCAAGGTGTTACCTTTGAGCTCAAGTGCTGCACTGAGCCAAAATACTCAAAAGCTTTGCTCAACAACTAAAGAAGCCACAGATTATTAATATTAATCCCAGCAGCGATTTATGTGGTCCACCTAAGAGTAAAAAGCTGTTAGAGCCCCCAGGTCCAAGGACAGTATGAAACAAACGCATATATTTATATATATAATATATATATATATATACACACAGCTGTTAAAATTTGACCTAGCGCCACATGAAGAGAAATGGTATGCACTTGAGAAGAGATGCTATAAAGCTACAGATTAGGTCAACAACGCCCCCACAGACATCTCATTGCCTCATTTCTCAAAGCCAGCTAGGCACCAACAGACTACAACTTTAAAGGAGATGAAAAACAGAAGAAGAAAAAAATAGACAAAATAAATCTTACACAAAGACACTGTCGTCTCTTAAATTATCGCTTTTTAGTGCCCTACTTTTTATTGTTGTTTTGTTTTAAACACCATCTGCCTTCAGCTGGTCGGGAGGGCTGCAGGAACAAACGCTCAGCCCTGCGTTAAAACCTATGGTACTTCTAGACAACGTTATGTAAATTTACAGTATACAATTTTGGATTACCATGCAAGAATACCTTTTTTTTGTGTAACATTTATTAGCTCGATCTACATCCAGGAATAATTTACACGGAAGGACAAAAAGTTATCGGACCAGAGAGCGCTAAGGGTAGATGACCAGTGCAGCCGGAGGGAGGTGAAGATGTGCGGGTGAGGGGTTTGGGGGTAGGGGGATTGGGGAGGGGTGTGGTCCAGTCCTCCCAGGTCCAAATCAACGACACTCCCAGACTTTTACTGTTTGATCTACGCTGCCAGTGACCACGAAGGGAGCAGCCTTGTGGAAATCTGGAAAACAAAAAGTAACAACATTGATGATGCACACAAACAATTTAAAGGTTTAAAGGTTCGTCTGACTAAAGGGCAGCTTACCCAGAGAGGTAACAAAGTGTTCGTGGGCACTCAGGGTCTTCATGCAGCGCTTGTTCTTGTAGTCCCAGATCCTTAAGGTCTTATCATCAGCACAGCTCACAATAAACTTGCCTCCGGGATGGAAGAGGATGCCGCGCACCCAGTTATCATGTCCAACCTGAGAGACGGAAAATGCTGATTTCACTCCAGATGGAAAACAATGCACTTTGTGAAGAAAAACTGTTTACCAATGGGCATTATACAGTTACAGAGAGAGGATCCTTACCAGTGTCATAAGGCACATCCCAGTGCTTACATCCCACATCTTTATGGTTTTGTCCCTGGAGCCAGACAGCAGGAAGGGCCCGGGCTTCCCACTCTTCTTGGACTATGAAAAACCGAAATGAAAGAAGAAAACAAAAAAACATCACATCTGGTTTGTTATTCTGACTGAAAGGAAGCTTTTTCCAACTAATACATGGTTTAAGAAAACAAACTGAATCTATTGAGCAGCATCAAATATGCTGATAGTGGAGGGAAAAGAGCATGGTGAAGCATTGCGATGGTAGCATGATGCTGAGGGGTAGGTTTTCCTTTGAACCTGATGTAAGAATGGTTCAATTTAATCCCAGACTTAAAGTTCATAGAAAATCTGCAGCTAATGCTTAAAAACTGCTGTGTATTGTCGCTCTCTCCAGTCATATTGAGCCAAGTTGCATAGAGGAAAATGCAATTTCTGCATCTTTTGAAACACAGACAGACCCCAAAAGAAGAGCAGCTGTTACTTTGAAGTTAAAAGTGTTTCTAAAAAAAAGAAAAAAAACACATCAGGCTAAAAAATACAATAATAAGACCAAATCTAGAAGCGACTTTGTTCACCATAAAAAAGGCTTTTAGTGTTGGGTCTATCTACAATCAGATCTATCGCTCCATTTCCCCTGATGTATTACAAGAAAAAAACATTTTAAAACATCTTCAATGTAAGAGAGCACGTTAGTCTGGAACAACTGCTGCAAGCTAAGTCCTATTTAAATCTATCAAGGTTACAAATTGGACACAGCGCAGATCACAAGACATGATGGGGAGCCTGATCTGTCTGCAGGCCATGTGGTTCCCTCAACCCGTTTGTCCTTAGTCTTCATTTCCAGCTGCTGCTTCATGCTATTAGCATCAGTGGTGACGCTATATAAGATCTGATGACATGGCAGAATTGCAGGGGAAGAACGCTGATTGAAGGTGATAGTATGACTCTCAATCATGAGTTTACCTCTTAGATCTGCTTTAACTGAAGGAGCTATCAGCTATCCTTTGGGAGATGATTGGAGCACATGGTTGGATAAAGATTGCTTGATATCTCCGCCTATTTATCACTGAATGATTATTGGCTTATCTGGTTAACGCATTTTGCAAATGTGTTACCAGCAGCACAAATTTAAAGCCAAAAAATCTCACACTGGCCTCTTTGTCTCCTCTTCCACCGCCTGACGAGTATTTACGCCATTAAATGCAACGTGAGCAGATCTCAGACATTCTGTCCTGTCCAGCGGAGGACAGGTTCATTTTCAACAACGGCGACCTGCTCTAACCTCGGAGCCTGTGGCGTCTAGGATGGTGGGATGTGCGCTCTCTGGAGCCCATGAGATGCACTCCACCACGTGTTCGTGCTCCCGCAGCTCGGCCTTGCATTCTTTGTTGGCCACGACCCACACACGGACGGTCTGGTCGTTGGAGCAGCTGGCGATCAGCGTGCCGTCCTGGTTGGGGCGCACCATACGAACCCACTCCCTGTGGCCCGTAAAGGTCTTCACACAGTAGCTATTGGAGAGGAAATTATTCACATTAGAACATCAAAATGGATCCTGAAAACTAAAAACTCGACCTGGAACCAAAGTAAAGGTGTTTGTGGATTAAAGATTGATGTTTTTTTTCGTACCCAGTTGCCACCTCCCACATTTTAATGGTTTTGTCCCTCGAGGCAGAAACAATGTGATCTCCATTGGGCATGATGGCTACAGATGAAACATTGTGGTCATGGCCTATAAAAAAAGAAGAAAAAAAAATATTATAATTTCTTGGTAAGAAACGAAAGCTTTTAAGCATGTAAAACATTAGCTAAAAAATATCTTCTTCAGCTTCATCTTCAATAGTGAAAAAGAAATTGGGGTGGTTGTAATTGGCCAATTAAATGATTGGCCAGGCAGTCAATTTGCGGGGTTGGATTTTTTTTCGTCCAGGGAGAATAAGAGATGCCTAATTAACTAGACACTGGGACATGTTTAAGCTGCTAAACTGATGAGGAAGACAGTAAGTATGTCCTCAAAGGCCAGCTCAAACGTGTGCGTATGTCCATGTGCTCACACATGCCATGAGACTGAGATAACAAAGGGGCAGCTCTGAAAAACTGCAACGTGGTGCTGAAGAGGATAATTACACTGCTGTCCAAATAAGCACTAATCTACTTCAAAGGTTGGCCTTTTTTTTCTTTTTTTTTTTTTAAATGGTAGTTTTTAAGGAATAAATCCACCCAGAATGCTAAGATACTATTGCTATTTAACTATTTTAAGATAAAATACATGTATATGTATTTTATCTTAAAATGTATATGTAATATATGTAAATTAGTTGTGCTATTTACAGAATCAATATGTAAAGTGGGCCACACCTTCCTTTATCATGTTAACCTGCAGCTGGCTTGCACAAAATATGGGATTTGCAATCCCACCATAACATCAGGAAATGTTTAATTCATTAATATTCACACATGTTCTTCACAGGCCATTTTATTAATGGGCAAAGTGATTCCTATGCAAACTACACTGCAGCTATTAGGATGTTTAACAGCTGAAGTGTGCTCAAGGATCCATTTAAAGTAGTAATTTCATAGTGTGTGGAGTCGGATCAGGGGAGATTAGTCTTCAAAAAAACTCTAAACTGCTTTAGTAGCAGCATTATTGTGGATCCTCATATGTAGAAGTGTAAACATATTTTTATAAAACAGTATTGGCAATACATAGTTTTCCCACCAATGGTGCCAGGGAGAGCAGGGCATCACTAAAGCTATGAAAAATTTTTTTTGTCACATTCGTTGTTTTTTTTACTAAAAAAAAATGTATGTTATAGCATCTTTTTTTTTTTTTTTTTTTTAAACCAGGACTTCATCGCCATGTTATCCTTTTGATGATTTGCTATTTGCATGACTGCAAAACATGTCTCTGTAAGGCACAGAGATATCCCTCATTTCCTGTGTTTTCAAAAAGCAAACCAGCAAAGATACATACTAATATTTCCCATATAAAATAACCATGCTAACAATTACGTCTCACTTTGGCTTGCTGCATTTTCCATCAGACATCCTGAGGAAAGGTGGGTTGGTGTGAGATTCGCCAAATTGCAGTTTGCACTGCTTTTAACCATGGATATCTGTAAAATTTAAAGACAGGCATTATTCACTGACTAGATAGATGTATCCTGTCAGTGTATAATGTCCGTCTTTAGATGGTCAGTTGTGTCGTGGAAGTAATAACAAATGTTGGAAAACCTGATGATTAGCTGGAAATAGAATGAAGCTACAAAGCTAATTCTTTAAATTGGAACCTCAGAGAATATTCGAGAGGAACTTTACATTTGAGTAGGTACACGCATGCAAAAAGATGCAATCAATAGTGTGTATTATGTGGTAGTGTCCTACATTGTAGGGAGATGGAAGCAGCACTCAGTGCTGTGAATTGGGGGGTTGGCTTTCCCCAAACCTTTGATGTAAAGAGCTTGTAGCTATTTAGACTTTGTTTTGCAAGGCCAAAAAATAAAAAAAACAACAGAAGATGGTGGAAATTCTCCAGGGCACCTCATTTTTGAGTGATTTTCTGAGCCCTTCCCAGTACAAGGAAACAGTAGCTCGCTGGAGGAACAACATATGTCAGTCCAGTCTGGGAAATCTCCTTGACATCCCTCATAAGTAGCTGGAGAACATCAGAGAAAGGGTTGTCTTTTGCCCCTGCAACCCAATCTCAGATAATAGGAAGGTAATAGATGGAAGGAGGAAAATCACCGCTGATCAGCAGAACGGCAGGTATCAATCTAATAAAAAGGTAAATACAGTGGTTTGGAGGCTCAACACAGCTTTGGGTGGAGTCTGTTGATAATGTCATCTTTATTTGAAGTGACAACAAACAGCATTTGTTCCACCTGAACACCATGTATGTACAAGTCAAACAACATCAAGTCAGCAGTGACCTGGAAACCATATCGATGTGTGCAGTGAGACCTGAAAACACTCCTTTATCCACTCACCATGCATGGTCCTGATGCACTCAAAGCCTTGGAAGTCCCACAGTTTGATGGTCATATCTGCAGAGCAGGATGCCAGCAGCTTGCCAGTCTGGTCAAACGAGATGTCCTGCACTGAATCTGTGTGGCCTTTCAGTGTGCGTTCAAAGTCTCCTGTCTCATAGTCCCACACCTGAGCACACAGTTTAGAAACTCTCATTGAATTTCACAAACACTGACCACAATCACAACTTGTCTGACAGCCTCTAGTGCACCGTAGTTCACCAGTACAGAGAGGTTTAAATGGGAATAAATCATTTATTTTACCCATGTTTTGGGCAAAAAAAAAAAAAAGTGCTTGCTTTTACTAAAGAGGGCCTAATAAAAAAAAGCAGACAGTTTTTGTGCCCAGCACGGCCAACTGGAGTGGAGACAGAATATGGTGTGAACAGTTGTAAGCCTGGGATAGCTGTTGATTCTCTGGCTTTGTGCAGACAGACTGTTTGTCGCAGAAGGATAAACCTTCCTCGGGTCCCTCTCTTGGGGTGAGGGGAATTTTGGGCAGACGGTGACAAGAGATGCAGCCCCCCTCCTCCTTCATGGCTCTAAAGGAAACTACAGATGGCCAGGAGGTGCAAAGTGCAGAGGGGGAATATGTGTGTTTAGAGCACATTAATTATTCACCACCAGCTTCTGAACTACTAAAGCTCTGCTGGTAAAGCAAATGTCCTAAATAACATATTTAGAGAGTGTAAAAAGTTTTTATGTTTAACATAAATAGCGGTTATAAGATAATTTTCTAGGGAACTTAAACAAGGTTTATTCTCCGCCTTTTAGAACACCTGATGAATCTAAACACACGTTCAATTGGCCTTCATTACTTTTTTTCCCCAATGAAAATTAAAACCTAATTTCAAGCTGGAAGATGAGGCTTAAAAATAAAATCTACAGCTTCTTTAACACAAAACCTGGTTTATCATTTTTTCCCCCCCTGCCTAATCAATTAACATAAACAAATGTCAGAAATGCTATCAAAAATGTCTTATTTCCATCACCTAAGCTAAAGATATATTTCTATAACCTGACCCTACTTTAAACTGCTCTACAACTTCAGGCGTGTTCCTTGGTTTTTAGTATTTATACTGAGAACAGTGGTATCAAATAACACTCTTCAGATTTTAAAACTCTTAAACATAATGACCCAATCATAATTTTGCATCCATCATACGGCAGTGCAACAACACAACACGGCCATATTGTTTATGATGGAGCAAGCGAAAATATCTGCGGTGTGGAGGTTCTTCTCATTATGGAAACAGACAAAGTACAAAAACATTTAAGTGGTATCAATATTTTTATGAATATTTTTAGAAGCCGCTTTAAGATGTAAATGACCAACATTGCTATCTTGGCTGTACATTGGTAATGGTGTGAGTTCAGGGGATTTTCCTGCTTAATTATAGTAAGTTAATAAAAAACATGATATTTATGCTTTGATATTTGCAGCTCTGCGTATTAATCGGTATCGGTCCAGATATAAAGAAGTAAAGCTAGATCGGTGACAATTGACTTGATACTCGATATAGGGGCCGATCTATTCATTTTAACTCTATGTTATGCTCTGCCATCATACGGCAGTGCAACAACACAACACGGCCATATTGTTTATGAAGGAGCGAGCGAAAATATCTGCGGTGTGGAGGTTCTTCTCATTATGGAAACACACAAAGTACAAAAACATTTAAGTGGTATGAATATTTTTATGAATATTTTTAAGATGTAAATGACCAACATTGCTATCTTGGCTGTACATTGGTAATGGTGTGAGCTCAGGGGATTTTCCTGCTTAATAATAGTAAGTTGATAAAAAAACATAATATTCATGCATTTATATTTGCAGCTCTGCCCATTACCTGCCGAGGTTACAGATCCCTTTAATTCTTGCTCTCAGAAAAGAGCATTTTTAACAGATAGTTTTTAGCCCAAAAGGCTTTTTCTAAGTGAGCAGCGCAAGTTCAGCCTGTGCCTCAAAATGTAATCGAGCTCTAAAGCAGAAAAGTGGGACAACAGTCAGGTGACAGATGAGCAGAGAAGCGGGGCTGAATTTATAATTATGAATCCTGTGGGATGTTCAGCTGAAGGTGGCTAGTCATGGTGGGAGGGTTAATGGTTTAAGTGGAAGGTAAATGAGACAAGATGCTGAGAGGAACAGCTGAAAACAGATCACTGTACCAAAACATGGATGGAAGGATCCCTGCTGTTTTGGGTGTAGCCTAGAAGGAAACATACAAGTGTCTATTATGGTCTCATAAATAATACATGCAAAACAAACAGCTCAGCTGAGCATTGAGGTTGTGCAGAGAAGCTGCAGCAATGGCTGCCTAGAGGCAAGTTGAAGGATTTATATATAGAATCTAGATGAAACAGAGAGATACCATGGATTCAGGGCGTATGTTAAAGAGAGTTAGAGCAGGGGAGAAAAGGTTGAAGGGAATGTAGTGCATGGATAAACAAAAGAAGAAACTAGCAACTTTAACTAAGTGGCTAAAATGTTTTAATGTTTGCTTTAACATCAGCTTCAGTGGAGAAATGGGATAAGAATTATTCTAAAATCACATGCAAAATAATGAGTTTAGAAACCTGCTCTATTGCAAACATCAACCTTAAAACATGAGCTGGGAAAGGAAGGCATATAAACAAGTCCTCCTGTTTAAATGTGTTGCATCCTTTAGAAGGAACATGAACAGAAGAACTGCCATGAGAAAATAAATTCAATGTTCGTAGGCATTTTTCCATTATCTTAGAAATATATAGTTCCTCTAACAATTTACCACATAAACCACAAGTTTACAACAAAGACTTGTTGAGAAACACGACGCTAAGCCCTGAGTACAGAGCCCAGCAGTTCCCTCGTGACTTTTACGTGTCAGGTGAACTATTGTTTTGCAAGTTTTGTCAACATTCCATTGATTGGAAGCGCAAAAATACATATATAAAACGGAAAAAAAGGAATTTTCAAAAATTAAAACGGAAAAAAACGGAATTTGGCAAAAAATGAAATAAAACGGATTTTATAGGGCCCTAACTATGTTATGCTTTGCCATCATACGGAAGCGCAACAACACAACACGGCCATATTGTTTATGATGGAGTGAGCGAAAATATCTGCAGTGTGGAGGTTTTTTCACGCACTGTCAGCCTACTAACCCCAATGGCTATGTGCAATATTTGTGGGAGAAATGTTACGAGGGGCGGTGTTAAATCTTTAAACTATAACACCACCAATTTAATGAAACACCTTCAGAAATTTCATGACAAGGAACATGCTGAGATTACCGGACTGGGTAAACAAGAAGGAAGCAGCGGGAAGCAGCTAACTTTGATGGAAGCAAAGGAATAAGGTGAAATTTTGTGCACAGTTGTTAAATAAACGAGTCATAACATTTATATTGGGGTTGCTTCCTATTTTTGTTTTAAAGAAAAGGGAAGTCAAATCATATATATTTTATCACAAAAAACCATTTTTTAGGTAATATTTTGGTGCTGTTTTTGGTAACGATATCGGCCGAAATCAAACTTCAAATATCAGTATCGTATCGGAGGTGAAAAAAGTGGATAGGTGCATCCCTAATTAGTGGTGACAGATGGAACGCTTTTAACCCATCGAATTAGAGCAGAAAACTGTTGGAGTAAAATATAAAAAAAATTTTAAAAATCTCCTCCAGGAGGTTTTTATTTTTACTTCCAGCTCAAATGGAAATGCCATTGTTATGCAGTGAAACCAAATGGTTTTAAATGAAAATCACCATAACTGAAGAAAATAACCATTTAATATGATTGTGACATCAATGAGAAGATTTATAACAACCTGAAAGAGCATTTTGTCTTTACACAGCCCTGATCCCCATTAGCTGGGAAACTATTCTTTGTTTCTTCAGAGTTCTTAGCAAAGGAAGATGTCTATTATTAGAAATGTCCTGATCCAATCCCAAGAAACAAGGCTTTCTAAAATGATTGGCAGCCATGATCACAGTTGACATCCCATAACTGCGGTTTCTCTATTGGCTGTAAAAAGATGCCACCCTGTTTTTAGGGAGCATGATTCTTCCTGTCAATAGAAAGATTGGCTGCTCCACTGTCTTTTCTGTCATGTGACCTGCTAAAGGTTCATACAGCTTTCCCTGTGCGTTTGAACTCAGCAACTGAACATATTATATTTTAAGAACTTCAGAGCAAATAGCTCAGTTTATGAAGAGCTGCTTCAGCTGTTCTGATGCTCAAGATCAACTAAAGCTCAGTGAAATATGACAGAATTAGCCTAGTCCATTAGGGACTAAAGCTGTAGGAATGAGCCACAGGTTTTCAGAACATCAGCTTTCAAACCTGAGATATCAAATGATAAAGTCACTAAAGGAAAAAGATTTCCGAAGACTAATTTTGAATGATATTGTGAAAATAATAGGGGTTTAAATAATAATCGTTTTGTATCGATGCATCAATCCAACAGCCGACGATCTGATGCATCGATACGTCCGCAAGAGTATCGATTCATGTATTTTTTTTACCTCTGGTCTATTTTTATCCACTTGCCCCTGGACGTAATTCTCCCTCCAATGCTGCGGTGGCGCTAAACCTATTTTGCCCATTTACCTCGCTTCCTGGGTATACTCTTACAGCAGTTTGTTGCCGTGAGCTTGACACAGACATTTTTGATTTATGCTCAATATTGAAGCGTGGTCGTGCTACACACTGTGGGTCTAAATATGGCCGAGTTGGTGAGGAAGTGGGGGCGAGTTTAGTCCGATGACGGAAGGACATGAGGGCCAAGCATTCTTGCCCACCTCGCTCTTCTATCAGGTCATACTTCACGAGTTGTTTTCTGCAATTTCGGTCATAAAAAAAAAACAAGCCAGCCTCCTGTCTGCGGCACTGTCTGCGGTCAGCTACAATTTGGTAGAGGTGCAGCTGAGCGTCTGTGGAGGGGGCGGGGACGTCTGGAGGCAAGGTATTTTGGAATCTATAACGCAGGGGTATTATGACTTTTGAATGAGGTTTTAACAGGAATAGGTGGAGTGCAACTTTTCTACTTCTGTCATTTGCGGTTGTTTCGCAAATAAAAGAAGAACCAATTAATCGAATCGAATCGTATCGTGGTGTATTCTTGAGTATCGAAAATAATCGAATCATTGGGTCAGGAAATCGATACTGAATCGAATCGCCATGATGGGTGTGATTTACACCCCTAGTTCCATGTGTGGTTCCATGGGGGTTCCCCGATCATTCCTTTGGTGGTTCCATGGGGGGTTCCCCAGTGGTTCCATGGAGGGATCCCCAGTGGTTCCATGGAGGGATCCCCAGTGGTTCCATGGGGGTTCCCCAGTGGTTCCATGGGGGTTCCCCGATCATTCCTTTGGTGGTTCCATGGGTGGTTCTTCAATGATTCCATGGGGGTTTCCCGGTGGTTCCATTGAAGGTTCCCTGATGATTCCATGGGGGGTACCCTGATGATTCCATGGGGGGTTCCCCAGTGTTTCTCCGATGATTCCATGGGGGGTTCCCCAGTGTTTCTCCGATGATTCCATGGGGGGTTCCCCAGTGTTTCTCCGATGATTCCATTGGGGTTCCCGATCATTCATTTGGTGGTTCCCAGATAAATCCATGGGTGGTTCCCCGATAAATCCATGGGTGGTTCCATTGGTGGTTCTCCGATGATTCCATGGGGGGTTGGAGTACAACTTTTCTAATTCTGTTATTTGCGGTTGTTTCTCAAATAAAATGCATAACGATATTACAGCTTTCATTGATTTATTTCAAATTTGAAACATTGTCTAGCCTGTAAGGTAAAAAAAAAAAAAAAAAAAAAAATGAACCAATTAATCGAATCGTATCGTGGTGTATTCTTGAGTATCGAAAATAATCGAATCGTTGGATCAGGAAATTGATACTGAATCGAATCGCCATGATGGGTGTGATTTACACCCCTAGAAAATAAGACACTTGAGTGTGTTTGATAGTCTCCTAAGACTGTTTAAAAGTCTTGTGATAAGAAGTCTCCTCATAGAGAAGCATATAATAGCTATCCTGTGTTGTTGGAGAGGGAAAAAAAAAAAAAAAAAAGTGTTTCTGTCAAGGAAACCAGACAGAAAATGATGGAAAAATTTAAGGTTTTCACTGAAAAGAAATCCGGGGGAAATATTCTGCATTCAAACACCATGTACATCCTAGAAAAATCTACAGATTAAATTAAATTAGCTTATCTATCAGACTGTGACCCAACATTAATTCTTGGTGGGGGAAAAAACCCTCTTGATGAGGGATATTGCTACTTAGAACTCTCTAACATCAACAAAACCTCCTTCCTGAAGCGCTGACCTTTATTGTTGCATCCTCAGAGGCCGACACCATGACGCTGAAGACCGGGTGGAAGATGACACGGGTGACGGGATTGCGGTGGCCGCTCAGCGCATATCTTTCAGGGGGACGGGGGATCCACTCTTTGGGGTCACGCTTCTGACTGACGGGTCCGCCCAGGGCGATTTCTTCTTTAGCTTCATTCAGTTTTGATTCAAGCTCCATCACCTGACACCAGACCAAAACATGGGAGGTCAAAACAGGATAAAAATATCTTTAGGAGGGAAAACATGTTTGGTTACACAACTTGATATGAAGTTCAGATTTCAGCTTTTACCTAACAAAGTATTTTTAAAACTTGTTTTGTCGATTTTTTTTATTTTTTTTTACTTTCTGCATTCGGCTGTAATGTCACGAACTGTTCACAAGACCGTAATCCCCAGAAGCATTCTTTGAGGAGGAAAAACCCCACAAACCTTCTTTTGTAATCTGATGACTGAGGTCCACTTTTTTTCCAAGAGGCCTGCATACTTCTTATCCAGTTCTTCATTCTGTAAAGTAACAAGAGGATATCAGACACAAAGAAAGCCAATCAAAGTCATGAGCTCAGCATAATCAGCTGGGCCTGAGGAACGGGGGCCAACTGGAGTGGCATGCTGAGGTCTGCAGCAATGCTAAGAAAGAACAGGGAATTATTTACACACCACACACAGACCTAGGAAGGCTTCCAGACACCACCAACCTACTGTACACCACGCACACACTCATACTGTACGTATACACACGCACACAGAGGGACCAGTCCTAATCCTTCCTACACAGGCTAATCCTGCAGAAAGGCTTAGGCAGCTTACTGCCACACAGCCGGCACAGAGGAAGCGGTAGAAGTTAACTTGTGGCAGTCCTGGCAGACTAGTCTGATTTAACCTGCAGGCTTAGAGCCGGCCACAATGACTGACATCAGATTTCATTACTGCAGAATTGCTTCGATCAATCATTTAGTCATGTATCCATCACAATTTTAATAAACTTGACTTGCTCTGCCATTCTAAATACTTAGATTTTTATTTATTTTTTTATTACAGGAACACCTCTGACCTAATATTGTTCAGCAAATCTCTTTTGTTCAGTTTGCATTCGCATTGGATAAATTCCCAGCTGCTGCAGTTATCAGAAGGTCTAACTGAACATGAATCTAAAACTGGAAGATTCCCAACCATCTTGCAACAAACTGTATTTTAAAACCTCCCGTTAATGTAAATACCTAGTTATTGTTCATAGAATAAAAAAAGCTTTCTAGCAATTTTGACATCATTATTAAGGTTATCACTGTTTTTCCTCTTAAATAACAGTTAAATTCTGTTTAACTGTACAGAGTCTTCCTTTTTTTACCCAGTGTAATGTTGCCTCTGGTCCCTCTGATCCAACCAAAAACAGAGCATCTCTACAGACATTTGCAATATAAATGAATGAAATATTGAACAACCAAAGACATCCAACAGTAAAATCAGAGGTTTTTCTTCCCAAATATTAGGTTTGATGCTAATATTACTTATTTTATTACTCATTTCTAATGGATCTTGTAGGGGAAAAAAATTCATATGATCCCCTCTGACTGAGGAAGTAAATGTAAGATATGCTGTAGTTTTCTTTTTACAGATATGTCTGCTAAACAAGTTGGAGGATTTCAACGTATTTTATAGGGATGCAGAAAGACTGTTTCCTGTTTTTTCTAAAAAAAAAAAAAAAATCAAAAAAAAAAAAAAAACTATTTTCAATGTTGGTAATTATAGTTCTGAAGGATAGAAGATTTCAGATCAGCCCTCGATTAAATCGTATCTCCTTTTCACCTTTGTGTAATTAAAACTAAACGTTATTATAAATAAAGGTTATATTTGTGTAAAGCCAAATAACAGGTCCAGAATGAGTATATGCATCCATCTATGGCTTGAGGGCACTATAAACTATCAAAACATCAAAAACCCACACTGACAGACAGCGACAACGTCAGTGAGGGGGAAAATTACCACTGTGCTCCTATTTCACAGCTACAGCCTCGGCTCTAAACAAAGCACACATGACATGAAGCAGCATCGGATTCTGTATACAGCACTTTCTAATGACTAAAGGGTGATTCCTCAGTGTGAATGGACAGAACATGTAAAGGGGGGGGAGAAAAAAAAACAATAAATGAACATAGAACCTCATCTGGACAAGTCTTAAATCATCTAATCTGCCATCTGTCTGCATGTTAACACACAAAGATGCACACTGAACCACCAGTGCCAGACTCTGCAGTCTGCCAGCCTGTTGGCAAACCATAATGAACATGTGTGTTTATACATGCAGGTACGTGTGCATCTCATTTTATCAAGAAAAAAACAGTATAACTTATATTATTTACTTAAAGACACTAGAACTAAACCTGCAACATAAGCAGCCTAAAAGGCAAAGAGCAGTTAATCGCATGAAAAATGTTTACCCTCACTAAACAAAAAGATTACTTAAAAATCTAACAAAGAGCTATCAGGAATATGGAACTGAACCCACTTTGCTCTAGCAACGTGTGTGTGGCTGAGCACTACCAGCCAACAGGGTGCAATGATCCCCTCTGTGCCATTCATCTATTATTCAGGCTGCTTCCAATGAGCTGCCACGTGGAAAATGACCGGGAGAGAAGCAGCTAAAGACAAACCAGCAGGGCGTCACGTGAAAGCAAAGGTGAAAGATCGTCCTCAGAAAATAAGTGGTTGAACCAAGATGGAAAGAATATTTAAAAGATATTAGAACTCATTTTTAGGCAATGATTAGCAATTCCTAAAAAGTTTCACAAATCACGGACAGGGTACATCATAATTTAAGTTGTTTTCAATGTTTACTACCACCTTTTGTGTAAAAGCAATGTGTTGCAAAAACTATACAATCTTATACATATATGACAAAGGGAATTTAACATTTAAATGCAGAAAAAAAAACAGCAGATCACTGAGGGTCATTTAGAAATTTAAAGGGATACTTAGAATTTCTCATTTTGCTCTTAATAAAATGTGATTTTTGTCTTTTTAATGAATAACTTCACTGTTTGCTTATTTTCATAACAATCATATTTAATACTTTTAGAAATATCATTTGAATTCAAGAGAGGAAAAAAAGGAAACAACAGAATAATATAAGAATGTTCAATCAAATTTTTCCTTACTGTGTTTTGGACAAAATAAGAGGAATGACAAAAGTAGGCAAGAAGCCACTTAAAACCAAACCATTTATTATCATTGGGCTGCAAGAAAGTAAGAGAGAGCAAGACTTTCAGGAAATAACAGGAAGGCTGTATGGAAATGTGTTCCGTTTTAACGAGACAATTCTGCTTCTGTAATGATAATCATCTTATTCACATAGAAGCCAAAGAACCTGTCAAAAAATAAAACATTTAAACAGGGTATTATGTAGTAATTGATCTCTTTAGTTGAGATGTTGCCTCTACTCAAAAAGTACTAGGATTTTTTTTTTTCATTCAATGATTTTTATATCTTCAACCATAGGTTTCTGATGAATAAAAACTTCTCTCACGATTTGCAACTAAAACCCCACTGTACACCCCCCCTCAGACGGCACACTAATTGGGTGCAGGTGCTCCAGGTTGCACTTCAGAACATGTGACTAGAATGAGGAAAAATGGGGAATCAAGGCATACTGCTAGTATAAAGTGGTGTGCTTTCCAGGCGGATGCGTGTGTGTCCGTTATTTAATCTACTCACATTATCTAATTCCGCTTCCTTCTTGAAAGTGGAATATGCCTCTTCATATCCATTGGATCGTAGATAATCGGCTATTGCTCGATTTCTGAAAGAGACAAAGAGGGACCATAATTAGTTCTCCAGATTAGCAGACTAGATAGTGGTTCAAGTGCTGCCAGAAATGACATGGTTAATGGGAGTGTATTCACAACTGTAAAACAAAGGCAGAAAACGAGCATGTTCAGCAAAGGTGTCAGACCGAGATGCAAATTGCGGATTGCTTCTACTTGCATAAATTCTCTGTGCCAAGCGACAGTGCATATAACATCATATAGATACCATCTCCTGTTCTCCATAGTTTCAGATATTTTTCTACCCAGTTAACCATAAATTTAGATCACATCTGTCTAACTTCTGTAATGAGTTCCTGTTGCTGCGGGCGAATAACTGAATGAACAATTCCCCACAGTGTTTGTGTGTATTTCATAAATATAGGAAATGAAAACCAGAGTCTTTGTTTCACCATGACAACCTCACACAGAGAAAGAAGCCAACAAATTATCATTGGCAGACAAAACAATCTCTGCAAGCTTCTGGCTACTATATAGCAGTGCTTCTCCTCGTCAGGCTTTTTCGAGACAAACAAAAGCAGCTCTTTCGAGACACCGACTTTTTCATAAAGCTAACAAACAAAAGGTGGCGGGGATCCAGACAGCGGAGCCACAAATTCAAAAATGTGAAGATAGATGGGCAGATATGGCAGACAATAGGCAGACAGAGCTGAAAGCCAGGAGAGAGGAAGCTGCCTTCACTCTTCCTTTATTTTTTTTCCTCTTCCACCTACAATACCGACACCCACAGTAAACTGACGCGCACACACACAGGGGCTGGGTTACGACTGCAGAATCAGCAGCGGTTCAATTTACCAGGAGTTATTAACGAGGCTAAAGTCACACAGTCTCAACAGGTCAGGTTTTACTCCCCATTTAATCTTTTTCTTGTGAGGCTGCAGAAAGGGGATTATTTATGATCTCATCTTGTGTTCTTTAGAAAAAAATAGTATTCTGCAATAGCATAAAACAGTTTTTGATTTATTACATCTCCAGAAAAGTGGAGGTCGTGATTGGGCCTCTGACCTGGTGTGGCGTAGTGGTCCTGATCAGAGTATTTGAGTACTTGACTGCAGTCTATTCATTTTACACTGCTGTTCTATCTGGTTATAAGAAAATGTGTAAACAACTTTTAAAAAACACTGACTATTTTCATACGCACGGCTCACAAAACTATATTTGGGCCATGCACATTACAATACGCGTCTGTCTGGACTGCCTCAGTTCTCTGTCGGCGTGGGTCATCTGTTTGCTTTGCATGGTAAACTCATGATATATTCTCGGTGTTCCTTGCCTCTGGATTTTCCAAGTTTAACCATAGGCACGTTCAATGAGAAAAAAATACCCCTGATATAAGATTTCAAAAAGCTGGAGGTCAGTTAAATTTCAAACATGGCTGCTGTGTCTATAAAATGTAGTGAAAGGTGTAGGTATAAACTATTTAGACATCTGATGGTTTGTTTCTCGCTAGAGCGGTGCAGTGCAGTATGACCTACTTTTTTTTTTACAGAATCCTCCTGATACATTTGTAGGTTCTACAAATTATAGAAGTCAGTATTCAAATATTTCCCATCCAATTGGTCTAATGGCTGGAGCTCACTCCCTTCAGGTGTGTTTTGCCAGCAGGATCAAATCTAAAAAGCTGTAGAAATACTTAACTGGAACCACAATGAAATATGCAACAAGCGGAAAGTTATAACGAAACTCTGTAATGAACTGCTCTATGGTGGAACACATCAGCAGGACAAGATGAGGGGATAACACAGCTAGTTCCATTTGAAAACTACAGAAATAGTTTATTCTGACCAAAAGCTACACATTTTCTTTTTTTAAGCGAGCCTTTCAGCTTTAAAAAAATAAATAAATAAATAAATAAATAAATATATATATATATATAACGATTCACAAAATCCACGATTCGGTTCGATTCACGGTTTCTGGTCACGGTTTTCGGTTCGATTCGATACATGTTGATTGTTACACCGAAATTCCATAAAAAATTATTAAATTAATGAAAAAATCCCCCCAAAAATAATGGATTGTAAATATTTTAAATGATCCGCGGAAACCCTGGATCATTTCCGTATGTTTTGCTGCTTTGAATTTAATCATCTGGCGCATGCTCTCTAACCTGACAACAGCCAGATGCATGTCTCGCTCATGTCTCGCTCAGCCACATGCATCTGGCTGTTGTCAGGTTACATGCTCTCTACCATCTCCAAGGAACTCAGAGGGGAGCGGACGAAGCCACAGCGGGGGCTGTAGGCTTTGCTTTGAGCAGCCGGTCTGGAGCGCAGCGGGGCGGAGCGGGGGTTGTTGACGGAGTATGAGGGATTTCGGGGTTAGCATGACATGTTGCTGTTAGCATAAACAAAACGTGTTGCACAATGCTTGCACACTGTTGCACTTTTGTCCACAACTTTCTTTCCGCTGTCATCGTAGGTCACTCTAAATGCAAAGCGCTCCCATACAGCAGACAAAGTGCTGCTGGCGCGTCTTCCAACTCCAGTTCTTTCCCACTCGCCAGTCCGACACAATTCTCCACAACAACTGATTTTTTTCCCCTGCTACACCCGGCTAAGCTGCTTCGCTTCTTCTTCTTCTTCTTGTTTACTACTGGCGGTTGGCTTTGGTCGCAGTACCGCCACCTTCTGCTCTGGAGTGTAATCGCTTCCTCTATGAGAAAAAGGAGCAGCGCATGAACCGAACGAAACACACGCGAACCGAACGATTCTGACGGTTTTCATAAATCGTCCCATCCCTATATATATATATATATATATATATATATATATATATATATATATATATTCCCAAATGGAAGGACAATGGAGTCAGAAGGTAGCAAAGAATTATTGATTTTTTTCATTGGTTACCCAACATTTTCATTCTCCCCCCTGTGTTTCCTGCAAACATTAATGCCAGAATTACCAGACAAGCTGTCAGAGAAGCAATGCTTTAAGGTGCCAGTATGAAGGGGGTGGGGTACCACAATCTGTCAGCCCAGCCTGTGCCCCCTGTGCCCTCCCAGGCAGCGTTAAGCATAAAAAAAAAAAAAAAAAAACCTTTCTTCTTACTACTACCTGAATTCCCATGACAACAGGAGCAGGCCTCGTTACAGCTCAAGGTTAGCGGGAGGTTATCTACAGCCTGCTTCCAAGAAACATGTAAAAAAAAAAAATGACACCAAATCCGCTGACAAGAAGGGCTTTGGGTAAAAAGTATTTAAATGCATGAAGGAAACTGATGCTCAAAGCTTATTTGTTTTAGTTTTTTGTCTTGTTTCTGGAGGTGAAAATAGAGATCTGAAAAAAAGCTTACAGCAGCTTCATGTCAACCTTGATGCAAACATTTAGGACAAATTTCATATTACATTTAATTAACATTTTATGGCAGGTAGATGTCGGAGAATATTACATGTTCTACATTATGTTCAAAACAACAGAGCACAAATACGTTAGCACACCCACCTATGATGCTAAAAGCATTGCACAATAAAAGCAGAAAAGCATCGACAGTGACATGGTGGAGCCCACCACTCATTAAACACACTGTTCACCCTGAATGGAGTTTAGATACATCTATCAAGAATGTTTTTTTTTTGTTTTTTTCTAAAAGACAGGACTTTCATAATAAAAACAGGAAAACAGAGACACAGGTTTACTGATGGCAACGGAAGGCGAGCTTTCTAGCTGGTTTCCATAGTAACAGATGAGCAGTGAAAAGAATCAGATAAATAGATGTGAACAGAGATGACAAACACAAAAGAGATAAAACAGTGGAAACAATAACTGCTTTTATTCCCCTCAATTATGTAAAAAAAAAAAAAAAAAAATGCTTTTTTTCCCCCCCCTATAAGAACACAGGGATGGTTCATCAATGACCAGTCTGTTAAAAGGGACAGTAATCCTGTCCATCTCATCTGGCTACAAGTGCTGTGATCTCTGCGGCAGCTACACCCATATGCAGGTCATCAGAACGGAGATGAGAGATGCATGGCCTCATCGTTCAGAGAAACGGGGTGAGTCAGTCAACAGCATCACTTCCTTCCAGCTCCTGTTATATGATCGCATCATCTCAGAAATGACCCATATATAAAAAAAATAAACCTCCACCAGAATCTGTGTAAAAAAAAAAACATGTTTAATCTAGATGATTTTAGATTTTTTTTTATTAATAAATCACTTTTCATAATGGTAGCTCGGCCCAGTTTCACAGTACCTATAAGGCTCACTAGTAGAATGGGAGAACCTCGAAATTTCCTCATCTTTGGCCCTTTCAGACAGCGGCGTGACGTGCACATAGCTGCGCTCTGAACATCAGAGAATACTTTGGTTAATGGAAGAAGATGACAGCAACAGTTTGGAGGAAAAAGATAGCCCGATGAGAAGCATCTGCAGGAGCATCACTCCTCTGTATTTGCTAAATTTAAGGTGTTTTTAGGCACCAAAGGGCACCATGAGCGAAAACGGCTGATCAGTGATGTAGGGTCAAGGTTGACTACTTCAGAGTGGAAAAAATATTTCCATTTCACGCATCAATCCTTTAACCGTATTTTCACGACTATAAGGCGCACTTAAACGTCTTTTTTTTCCCTCAAAATGTGCGGTGCGCCCTTTGGTGCGGTGCGCCCTATGTGTGTTGTAACTGCGACTTTTGAGACCACCTCATTGAGGAGATGATGAAAGAGTGGCTGAATGTAAGGAGACCAGGTGTTTTTTTTCCACTCATCCCCATCGCTGTTAATCTGTGACTCCATGCGTGCCCATCTCACAGCTGATGTGAAAAACATGGTGAAACAAATTAAGCTGTGCTCGCTGTTATTCAACCGCTCGACATCGGTGTGAACCGGACCCAGCAGGTGCAGCAGAAGCAGCGAGTTTACACGCAAAGTCAATGGTTGACGCGCTTATAGGCGCAGCAAAAGCTCCCGCAGCACGTTTTGAGCAGCAGGCGCTCAATTGGCATTTCTGATTTAGCGCAGCTGTTAAATTCA